TCAAGTACCAAACGACATTCATTATCTCCATCACCCGTAACCCCTCGCTCGACATTCCAACGTCGACCAAGCAGTGGCTTGAGAGGACGAAAATCCACATCGTCTTCTGTTTCTTCCGTTCGCAGTATAATGCATCAACATACTCATTCGAAAGCTTCATCGACCTCATCCAATGGATCTGGCTCAAAGATATCATTACCTACTCGCAGCCCTCACCACTCCGTCAAGGTCCTACCCGCAACCCCTACCCTTGGCTCATTCCCTTCTAACATCCGTGTCGTTCGACAAACCCCGCTTTCAAGTTTCAATGAAGGAGTCTCATGGGGTGGTAGCAATAGTGCATTTGGCGCCCCTCTCGTATTCGCTAAACGGAAAAAGAATTTATTTAAAGGACCCTCACTCAATACTACCTCACCTGTCGCGTCGGGTAGCGGAAACGGCCATGGTCACACAAGAACGGGTTCGCACAGTAGAAGCACCAGTATAGCAGGCAGAAGAAGTGGCGAAATAATTCAAGAAGAAGATGAAGAAGAAATTGAAGAAGTCGATGTCTTTACCCCCGTGACTGGACCGGGTGAAACAGAAGAGATGGTTTTCACCCCAGGTGAAATGTTGAGAAGGGAGGATACAATTGAGGAGTCGGATAGAGAAAAGACACCTACTAATGGAGCTGTATAGAAGGCACTTGCAGTGAGAATGTTTTTGGTTAAATAAAGGGGTTTATGGGGTCTTTGGAGAGTGGATGGGGTTGCTGCGTGATTTGGTGCGATGTGTTGCGATGTAGTGCGCATGTACATAGCGTACATATTCTCTTGTACAATTTGTTTTTCAAGTTAATCTCCCTTGCAAGTCGCACATAGTACATCGGTAATCATCCATGGCGAGGAGCATAGCGGATATGGATGCACGCATGGAATGGAATGGATGGATTGGGTTGTTACACTACATAGAAGCGTTTTGTTTTATCTGCTTTATCTGTTTTACCCATTCATTTACCTCTTCTGAGTTTACCGTATTTAGTTTTTCTTTCTTTCTTTTCTTCTTCTCTTCCCACACTCATATTTTATTATCGACACATCATCGTTTGGTTTCTTGTTTTTATTTTTTACTTTTTTACTTTTTGCCTTTACAAATTCATCTGTCTACACATATATACGTACATACATACATACATTATAGCATTTATTTTTATTTTTTCCACTCATAATTCTTCGGTTACTCTTTTTGCTTCTTTTCTTGATTCCTTTTCTTGAGCAATTCGGGTATAGGGGAGTTTTTGATACCAATGTTTGTGTGTATATCGAGATGGATAGGAGAAGAGAAGGGAGAAGAGAGAAGAGAAGGGAGAAGGGAGAAGAGATGGGAGAAGAGAGATGGGAAAATTGTACTGAGCTGGGAAACGAACGACGGGGGGCGGGGGAGATGAGATGAGAAGAGAAATGGAGGCTGGGGGTGGAAATAAAAATGCAAAGAGTATCTAGGTGACTTAAGCGGAGGGAGGAGGAGGGGAGGGAAGAGAACGAGAGATGGATCAGAGATAGGGAGGGGGAAGGGAGAAACAAGATCTTTTATTTTTCTCGTATATATGGATGGATGGACGGAAGGATAGGTGTATGTACCTGTATATACATTGTGTATAAAAAGTAATAAATGATTGTGAAATATATGCTAAATATGTATGTATTAAGTACATGCTTGATCGTGGATTACAAATACTTTTATAGTTTACTTTTAAAGATATTATCTATGTGTAGGCAGCCAAGTATGCATAGACAGTCAAAAATCGCCATCGACAGACAGCTCGTATGAGCGATTAAATACCCTTGACCTAACTTGACGTTCAGATCAAGTAACGCCACGCTCTTAACCTCAAGACTAATATTCTCGTATATTCCGTTCCTGGTATTTGAACCCAAACTCCCTTCCCATTCAATTCCCGCCCGGTCCAGTCCAGCCAAGCGCTAATGTTGAGATCCCAGAAAGAAGAGTTTTACCCAACGCCTCGTGATTATGTCTGTATTATTTACAATTATGTTGACTACTGTCTCTGCGAGCGACCAGTTCTACCATAAGTAGGTACAGGGCGTGGTGGCGAAGAGCCTCGAGATGTTCTGATTCTATCAATACCAAGAGGTTGCATGGTGCGGTGATGATTGCCTCCCGGTGGACCGAGAGGATGATGATATTGAGTCCTGCGACGATTCCCAGAGGAACCGCCCTCTGGGATATCTCTATCGTCTTCATCTTCCCAATAATTTATGTCATCAGGGTTTCGAGCGTTTCTAACAGTATTTTGATGTTCCGCGAATAGCATGCTTATTCTTGAATTATACTGTTGATGACCGGCGTTATTTCTCGGTTGTCGACGTGGGGGTGGACGAATCGAGCTGTCTGAATCGTCATCGTCGTCGTCATTCCCGGCAACTTCGTTTGCAACGCCGAGATTTTCGCCCAGATTACTTTCCACGCTAACATCTCGACTGGACCGTGATACACCAGGGGACACACTCATTTCAGTATCACCATCCCGATCCATGCTAGGTAGTAGATCTCCATCAGTGTCATAGTCGTAATGCTCGTTCTCGCTTCCGTGATTGTTAAATGCGCCGTCGCTAGTTCCACCGTAATCGATTGGTGTGGCATCCCCATCCACGCTTGAAGAGAAACCATCAAAATTTGGGTCCATTTCCTCATAATCATAGTTTAGTATCCCCCGAAGCCCCCCACGAGGCCGATCATCTTCTTCTTCGCCTTCTGAATTTGGATTACCAATCGTATCCGAATCGCTTTCGTCCGAGGCTCTTTCATCGTCAGTTGTAGTATAATCACCATATTCACCGTGTGCCAATCTGTTTGTATCGTCATCCTCTCCTTCATCCAAGGGACTCCAGCCTCCCGATGCTCTCAGCCTGCGTGCCTCATGATTGTCCATCTCATCACCAAACTCCGAACCATTTGCACTGCTACCATTGTCGTCATCTGAAACCAAGATAGATCTAGAGGGTGTGTTATCATTCTCCTCCGCTGAGATTGAGATGGCTCTGGAAGGCGTTTCTGAGGAGCCGGCCCAGCCAGATCGCGGCCGTCGGCGATTCGTAATCGCACCACCTTCATCATCAGAATCCTCTTCATCGTCATCGTCATCGTCATCGTCGTCATCCGATATTATGACCACTCTCTGTCTCGCCCTACGTGGTGGAGGAGCAACGGACTCGCTATCTTCATCGTCATTTGCAATGAAATCTTCCAGTGAACCAGCGTCTTCGTCGTCGCTATTGTCCTGATTGCTGGTGTCGGAATTTGTAGGATCTTCTGAGTCGTCGTTCAAATTATCATCATGATGGCCACGCTGATGAGTGTGATAATGATGGAGAACGTGTTGGTGGATTGGACCACCGAAAGCAAAGGGATTATGGCGAAGGTGGGAAACATTTGGAGGGTTTCCTGCTCCCCTGTGTAATTCGGCTTCAAGCTCAAGCTCACGCCTCATATCTTCATGCGCCAGCTCTATATCCTCTCCATAACCAATGTCAAGATCTGAAAGATCGCCGTCGTCTTCCATATCGCTGAAGCCATAAATATCGTCAAACTCAGCACCACAACGATCGCACGTTGGCCCACCTTCATGCTCATACCCACAGGAAGGACATCGCATAACCCCGTCCGCTTCATCGAGCCACAGTTCCCCATGCCGTAGTGGGAATGTGCCTTTGAACAATCCTTCGGGGCTATTTTTATCTTTCTCTACTATCTCAGTTTCTTCGGCATTCCTGACCTTGTGCTGTTCTATCGTCTCGTCGTCTGGCATTAGTTGACCTCTTTGGATGAATATCTCGACCATGTTTTTTATCTAGTGCTGATTAATACGCCTCAATTTTGCTTATGCCGTTTTTAGGAGTTTCTTACAAGGAAGGCTGGAGCTGGTATTTGCTTCACTGGTGCGCGGCATTCTGGGCATGTCTTTTTTCTCTTATTTGGGATGAACCATTGACACAGACACTATAATCACGTCAGCCCCTATCCAATTAACCAAGTTCTCGGGCTGCACTCACAGAATAACAGTATGTATGGCCACATTGTAAAATCCATGGTTCGTAAAGTAGTTGATCGCAGATGGAGCAAGTTAAGCATTTTCTCATAGAGATCAAGTCGTCTCTTAGATTGTCCGCAGAAACCTGGGAGGAATGTTAGTGTATGCTACGAGGACAATTATTTTCCAACGAACCTGAACCTGTGCTTTATGTTGAACCGGCTCTTCGTCTCTGGTTTTTATAATAGCTTCGAGCTTCTCAACGGGTGATGTAGCCTCCCGATTCCTGGGTGTATGTTCGCGCATGCGAGATCCATGACTGGGCGTAGCTCTGGACATGACAGAGGAGGGTGAAGAATTCATGGTAATTTTCGGTACCGACGGTATCTTAGGGAGGACTGCTAGGATCGCTCGCCGTTGTATATGGATAACCAAGGTAGCAGTGTAACAAAGTTGATATATCTGTTAAATTGATCGAAAGAAGCGCCTTGTATTTCAGAGCGCTCAAAAGTGCCTTCTAGATAAGGCTGTGTGTTGGAATGGAAAAGTCAATGTTGGGTTGTGAATGAAAGTCGATGGACGCACAAAATGGATTGCGTCCCGCAAAGATAACCTTAGCTCGAGCCTTATTTAGCGTGATGGGGTAGTCGATCACGTGCACCTAGTGTCGAGAGGCGTCGGGCCCACATTTAGAAAGTGGCTTTGGGGATCGTCTGTGGCACAGTAGAGTGAGTATTATGGATTTTCCAAATCGCGTGCATCACGAGTAAATCTCATGTCAAAGTGAATTGTAAATAGCTGCACCTTCCTATATTGAGAAAAATTCGAAACTTGATGTTTCATGTTAGTACATAACATATAAATCTACCCACATTAGGTAGTTATCATATAGAAATCATTCATCAATTAACCTCACGATTCTATTCATCGAAACAATCCGATATCCGAAGTTCTCAACATAAGAACCAGATATATTCGAAGTCATTGGTAGGACTTCTTATAGATGATCCAGAAGTCCTACAAATCTAAATATATTATATCTTCTCAAATAATAACTAATAAGTAGTTCTCTATGCCCGGGATCCACAGCAGCACAGAAATCTCTACTCGATCTAATTAGTGTTTCCCACGCGATTATATAGGACAATCAAAAACACAAGTCCCCTCATTCATCTCACTATATCGAAGAGAAGCCCCCACAGATTTCATATCAGCATTGCCTTGGCTCTCTCAACTATGAGCAATATTACGTGGCACCTATCCAACCAACCAACCATCGAGTCATCCAATACCTATTGATCTCTCAAAATTTCCCACCAGTGATTCACAACCCCGCCCAAGATTTCCCGGTATATGCAATGCAAAATCATCATATCAACAATACTAACAATCTAATCAAAAAGCAAGCCATCAACAGTTCATAAGTGCTATTGTATTGTACTAACAAGAAAGGGACGAAACCTAAGATTCGAAGCCAAAGACTATGGAGCAAGCTCCAGATTAAAAGAGCCTATCTGATCTGCATCCAGCACGCTACCTTCGACTTCATTCCAAGATCCAGATGAAATATTTCCATTCAAACGATCGGCGCTAAAGAGGGAATAAAAAAAGAAATTCGTATCAAGTCATTAAAGTCTGGCTGGCCACGCCCATCATTCATTCAGCTCTGGCTTTCTTGTTTGGATTCGCAGCTTCGGCGCAGATCTCTCTCAACTCTCCGACCTTGACAAGTGACTCGTCGACGATTTCTTCGTTGAGGTGGGTTAGTTGGCTGATTTCGAAATCGAGGAAGGATTTGATGGCTTTGGCATTGGTAGCGCCGGCTTTCATGGAATCGCGAAGTTCTTTGAGCATGATTCTGATGCGGGCTTCGGCATTTTCCAATTGATATTCGACTGTTTGTCCATATAAATCGGAAAGATTGGAGATGGGTCGGACAGTAGTGAGAACGGTGTCGTCACGGACGCGTGGGGATCGTGGACGGAAGGAGGTAACCATGGTGACTCTCTCTTGTCCACCAAATGCTTGCAGTGCTTGGTGATCAATGTAGCGACCTTGCAAAACCACAGCGCATCCCTAGGCAACGTTAGTAGATATACTTCAATGGGTGTAAGCGATCAGCCTTACCTTTGATGGACCGCGGACTTTTTTGATATCGCCAAATCCAGTTCTCAAAGCAGTCTCGCCACCCACCATTCCTGTTGTATCACTCATCATGAGAACACAAACGAATGGATAACTGTCTCTGTGCCAGCCGACAATGGGCTTCTCATCCTCCTCGCTTATCAAAACACTGCTATCATGGTTACGCTTCTTTCCTGGGACAGACAAGTTGACATGGCCAATTTCATAGTCCATGACAGGGACAAGATCCACACCAGCAATCTTAGAGATAATTGCGAGAGTTTCGGGGTGTTTCCAAGCCTCGTAGATGAATTTACCGTGACTGCGTAAAAAGACATGTTAGTCGAGTAATCAACAAAATCAAGAGGTTATGTTAGAACTTACTCGGGGGCATAACCACGGAGTTGTTTGGGTGCGATATCTGAGGTATAGCTATACTTCTCCTGGACTTCCTTGGCGAAAATCTCTTCCCTCATAACATTAACAGCCTCTTCGCTAAAAAGGCGGAAGGGCTCAGAGACAGCGACGGGGGAAACACCAGAGGTGGCAGAGTATCCAATCTCTTCCATGGAATGGATATAGCTAGGCTCTTCATATTGAAGATGAGTCTCAGGTTTGAATAGCTTTCCGACAGCTGGTGCACTCTGCTCTGAGGCTAGGTACTTGGCGAAGGATCGCTTGAGGCTGTCTTGAGTTGCTCTAGAGGAAGTGTAGTTTGCTACCTTAGGGAACAAGTTTGGCTCAGGAGTTCCTGGTTGATAGCTTACGTCGATAGTGGCCATTTTGATGTAGTGGACTGTTTTGGTATTGGAGAAATGTAGATGGGTTGTTAAATTAAATGTAGCTGAAATTATTTTTCAAGCACTTATATAGTAGTATCGTGTGGTATTGTGACGTGAATACTTTTGATTTGAAAGATGTGGTGGTAGACAAGATGATTCAGGGCCCGTGGTTTTATATTCACAACTAAATAGACTGTCAGAAAAGATATGCTAAGGCAGCATGTGAACTTGATGTGCTTGAGGGAACATATGACCGTCCACTGAATGGCAACCTCAAAATGATTCAGGGGAAGCGATCACAACGAAGTTGTCAGAGTTTGATGCATTGCCAGCTCGAGTACCACGTCTGAAGCTCGAGGCTCAACAATGCCATGGTATTCGAGGTTTAACGAAACCCATCACTTGCCCGCTGAGTTTGAGACAGCAGTCTTAAGAGATGAGGAGAGAGAGCCGATGCAAGAAAGCGCACCCGTGCATCATGGACAGCGCATTGAAACGACAATAAGGAATGTGGATATACTAACAGATAAATTTATCCGGGGTGCAGTTATTCAGTGAGTTGCTGACCGAGTTAATAATTGTATGATAGCACAAAGGAAGAATGTTTGAATGGTTTATTATAAAGGTTATTGCAAAGGTCGGCTCGAGAAGGACAACTCTTTTATATCTATAACAACTTTCAAAGTCTTAAAGTTGAAGCCCAATGTACGTCTTGTGTGGTAATCCATCGGTGCCACGATTGTCAACCAACCATCATCTTACACCACTATCAACCCTTCGTTAATTTTGCACGTCCTCGATGCTTCGATCCTGGCCGCCCTTACTATGCTCCTCCACACCTTCTTTGGCAGTGAGTTTTTCCTCCTTAGATGACCTTGGGGGTGAATGTGGAGATAGTTTCACGATATCTTGGGTGAAATCGTCACTCCAGCATACTCCTTATCGTTGATTAATATCCGGAGTGGTCGATCGACGTGCGTAGGTCTAGCCCAAACAGCAGAATTGATATCTTCTACTGAGACGATTCAATAATAGCGCTGCACCAAGTGAAAGTGAATGCAGGGTACTGCAACTGAGATACATTTGCATGGAAACTGTTTCTGCAAATGGATAGCGGGAACCACACGAATAAAAAACGGGCACAAGATAACGTGGTAATCAAATCCTTCGCTGACCACAACATCCAATCGGTGAGCTGCCTCAGTGTTATAACCAGCCACAGAAGCAAGGGAATTGTATGCCAGTTCCATGCTCGAGCGTCATCAATTGTATGATTTAGCAGTTGATAATGTACAGTTGGAGTACAAATTACCAAAGTTAAAAGACGGCAACCAATTATGGAGACAAGTAGAATCAAAAGTGGAGGGTCATCGATAGGTGTGGAGGGCTAATGCATCACGAGTTGATCAGACCAGCTGGAAATGATGACCCAAAATGGAACACAAAACACTTCTTAGTACTATCGGCTATATTTGGCATGCTTCGCTTGATGCATTGAGCCGTTAACGGAAATAGAAAAATCAATCAATAATATTTGTTCTGGAACATCCGGCAAAAGACAAGAGACAGTGATATAACAGAGAAAACGAGACGCATTGAAGGTCGTAATTGAGTGTCGCAATGGAAAGTTGCAGTGGAAGAATTCGCGACGGGAAAAATAATATCTACCTTTATCGTTTGTTCATTTGAAAAGTCATTTTTCATGGTAACGAATGCCAGACACGAATATGATGAGCTTCTTAATCGAAGCAAGGTTCGTGTAGGTATATACATACTACTACCAAAGTAGTAAGAAATCTCATTTCAGCCAACAACCTATTGTTGGCAATTGCCCACGACCGTTCGACTCTCCAGAAGAGATAATGTCTTGTGATCGACATTTTCCCTCAACAAGAAACTGGCACGGTCCCGATAACAATATTGGCAACAAGAGGATGATTTGTGTGGAGGAAGTGGTCCTGTGAGGGGAATCCCCGGTAAATTTGGCAGTTCATCGTGAGTTGATATGTCTGGAAGTTTGAGTCTATTAATGGAGTTATCAATATGACGCATTGGATTGACGATTGATAAAGCTCGTATCCATTCTCAGTGATGTGGGTGGTGATGAGTTGATAGCGAACTTTTCTTTCAGTTGTTGCATTGTGTGCTTCGGTGTTGGAAAACGCTACAGCGTACGCATGTAAGTCTATGTGCAGAGTATAATTTATGTTGGTGTCTGTATAAATGTGAAATGAAAATATCGCAAGGTTGTAAAATATACTTGGATAATAATCGGGAGGAATTGGTGGAGAGGAGATGTCTAAGTTCAAGTAAGTTTAAACATTTGAGTAAGAGAGACCAACTGAGCAGTGTCATTTTCATCTACCTCGCTAAGTGCCGATATCTGGACTTGGCTCGGTTGATAAGAAATCCCTGCTCTTAGATAAGGATGGAAAGTGGCTTTGATGGAACGTGACGGGAGTGGGAAATGTGAAGTAACCCGAGACACGATGATGGTTTGCATGTGATGTTTCGGTTGATCGGAGTTGGTATCGGCAATGGTACCGGGAGTCGGGAGTCGGGCGTCGGGCATCGGGATTTACAAGGAATGTCTAGAAGGGGCAGGTGATGAAACTTCAGGAAGCTTTGACTTTCTCGAGTACGAGTCTACGAAGTACGAGATGAAACCAAACGGATTAACTTGATCAAAGAAGTGATTCACATTCCACCAACACCAACATCTCCATATCATATTCATTCTACACCAATTGCAGGACTGCAGTATGTCGTCGGACAAATCTACAGAAAATCCATGGGATAAAGAGACAAGTCAAAAATTTGAAAGGTATTCATGTGCCGTCTCATTCATCTCAACTCAACTTGTGGCGAAGGGTTCAAGATGCTGATTTTTCCCTGCAAAGCAAACGCCCAGGAGAATACTTTGACCCCTGTCAAGAAGCAGCTTCAAGAAGTCTGAAATGTTTGGCTCGAAACGGAGGTGATAGAGATATGTGTACGGACTATTTCCAGTAAGCTTATCCCCAGAATTTAGGATGAAGAAGATAGAAGTACCGGAGAGTAAATCAACCTTATGTGGACCCTTGATACCCAATGTCCAATGAACAGCAGACAGCAAAGAACAGCAGCAAACTATAAATTGGCTCTTGAGGGGGCGGCTATTCCAGCTTTTGGACCTTTCATACATCAGGATTGTGGACTAATGATTTACAGAGCATATCGAGACTGCAAGAAGCAATGGGTATGCATCAATCCTTCTCTTGTGGTTAGCTAACCACATACTGATATGATTCTAGATCGAGCAACGAAAGGAAGCCAAAAGGAAAGCGGGGTGGTTCTCTTCATGAGAAAACGGATTGTGTATGATAGAAATGTGATGTGTCAGTTTGCGGGGAGGGAGGGTAATAGAGATAAAAGTTATTGACAAGGGCGGCCTTATCCGACAGCTCAAAGTAACATTCTGATCAACAAAATGGAAAAAGCTTGCTCAAATCGTTGGTGTTCATAATGGTCTCTGCATTGATTAAAGGAAACCCATCAAAGCATACAATCCAATGTATGCGGAATACCTATGTACGACAACTGATATCCATCTCTTTCAGGGTGTCAAGACTTGCGCCAATCATTGACTATCTAGACATGTAATGCAGCACATGAATCTTCATTCAATACCACAAAATATATAATGAAACGACATACTAGATGCATATCTTCCTACTTATTATCCTTACATTGTTTGGACTTTTATTCATGTTTTCATCGTGTGTCGATATAATTTATAAGACTATGGATGGCATAGGAGAGAGAGCTAACAAATTTGGTGTTCTTCTCTTTCCTCGCTAGTCAAATCCAATGATGCAACTTGAAAAAAATTATATTCACCAATATTGATTTGACTTGTTGAAGACTCTGATTGTTTCCAGTGCGGCATCCTGATGACAAGCCACAACACCTGCATATATCTAATTCACGAATTTGAAGATAAAGATATTTTAATTAACTACCTATCTATCACATCCGGCACATCTCTCTCTCTCAATCCATAGGTACCTGGTAACATTTGAATGATGGCTGATAAGTTACTCAATGATCGTCAAGATATCCCCATTTGGAATGCTGTCGAAGCCGGCAATTTTAAGCAAGCGCTGAAGTTAGTTGACAAGAGGTTGGCCAAAAAGCGGACACCTCATTTAGAGGTATGTGTGAATGGTGAAATATCACTACTAAATATCTCTCTTTCACGTGACTGAGGAATTCTTCCATCTCACGAATATAGCTAAGCAAGTTTCCAGGCATTCAAGATTTATATTAAATCGCGTTCGTCCACTCAAGCGGAGAGGGATACCGTACTCCTCCATCTGGAAGATTTGGTTGCTAAGAAGGTTGTCATTACGGATCAGGAGGATATAGATCTCTATGATGATGCTTTAGTCAATGCCATTCCAGAAGCTGGATCAATCTGGGCAAGGACGATTGGTGAGTTGCGATGGCAAAGTGTCAAAGCATATCCCAAACAAGAAGATTCTGGGTTGAAATCGTTCAAGGCCTGTTTGTCGGAACGCGACTGGGAACATGCTCAACAGGTATCTCAAGCTCTCACTGATTTCATCATGGGATACTAACAAATGCTTGATAGATTGCGAGTAGTCTTGAAAAGACATTCCCAGGTAAACACCAATACGTTTTCTGGAATATCTCCTCTTTATTCCTTAGATCTGTAAGTAATTTTATCGGATGAGGAATATCTTCTGAAGCGTTTTGCTTACTCGTTGCCAGATTTCAAGCGATCTTCCTATTGAAAAGAGAACTCTATGGGGCCGATTGGCGTATGGACAGATTAGCAAGCTTGCTACAGCTACAATACAAGCAGATGTATGTATTCATGTCTCGTTCAGAATTACTGATATTAACACGGTGATTTTAGAAGTCAAAGCCTCTTCCGACTCGTGCGATACATACACCGCAGGAGCTGTTACTTTTACAACGGATTACTGCAGCACATGGCAAATTGGAGGATCGATTGAATTATTTAAACGAGCCTTCTCTTGGACCCGAGTCAATAGTTGCCAAGGGCGATTGGGAATTATGGAGAAATAAATTAGAGCTTATGGAAACATCTGAGCACTGGCAAGAACTTTTGGAGACAACTGGCGGTCTTCTCAAACGTTCACGCACAAAGGATGAACGCGGACAGATCGTCGAGGCTAGAATGGCCGACTGGGCCGTGTGGCAAGCGTACCTACACTCTGCTCTTTCTTTGCAAACCCCCTCGTAAGTACTGTGACATCAATATATAGAACAAGAACTTACAAAATCAGTGCTCTTGATACTGTCTCGACAGAAATTGCATCGCATCTGGACCCCAATTCTGGAATTGACAAAACATGGAGAAGAAATGCATCTTTAGCATGGCTTGAGTTTACCTTTAAGAGTTCTTCTACGCCATTTGCTACTGAGCCATCGGGATCAGATATTGAAAAGTACCCTAGAGTGGCTGCAATCGTCAAATATTTGCAAGAATTTGGCGATGCTACCACAGCTTTTAGCGATCTCAGACCTTACGTAGAGCTATCACAAAGTGAGGAACGGAACAAATTGCTCAATATTCTCAGAAATGGAATTCACTTCGGTAAAAAGGCGAAAAAAGAGGATTTGGACTCTCAATTCACGGCCCTGTCGGTTACTAAAAACGAGGTAAGATACGCACTGAAACCCAAATCTGCTTATGATTTTCTAAACCACTGGTACAGTTCGAGAATGCAAACGATATGACGAGATGTGTTAACTTACACAAATTGACTCACCTCATAGTGAGTAGTATCTCCGAACACGAGCGTCGGTCGAGCCCTCTACATAAAACTAGTGAACGATCATTCACTTGCACATACTGCTCCAATCCTTGCGGGGTATACTGTGAGGTCTGCCTCGAGCAAATCTCCAAGGATTCTATTGCAGCTTACACATCTGCAATGAATGACAACGGGAAAATTTCTAAGTCTCTTCTCCCTACAGACAGACATCCTGCCGATGATTTCTGCACATTAGCAGCAATGTGCTTGATGAAACTTGCTCTCTCAGACTCCGGTGATGCTGATGGATCTCTAAAAGGCAAAAGAATCGCGTACGCCTTACAAGCAGCTGTGTGTCTCGAATATGGCTGGTCACAGTCTAAATCGAACTCTGATTTCTCACTCATTATAGTCAGAATATATTCTTCTCTTGGCTGCGGTCAACAAGCTATGAAAGCATACTTGCACCTGAGTTTGAAGCAGATACAGCTTGATACTCTAGGGTACATTATACTGGATAGGATCTCATCCCTGCACCCGCATCCATTTCCTTCTGCCCCAGATGGATCTTCTGAAAATCTCAAGCCTGTAGACCACCTCAAAAAACAAAGAAAGATGTACGGAAATTGTCGTCACCAAGTTTCGAATAACACCTGGAAAGCATTCGAGCATGGAAGCTACAACACAATTTTCCAATTCCAAGAATTTTCTGAAATTATCACCAACACATTATCGGCAGTGTCTTCTGCTGTCGAGACAACAAAGATATCACGGCTCTTGAAGCAGACCGCGCCTTCGGATGTTTTCAGCATTCTTCGTGAGTTTATCTTATTAATTTGACACAATCAAGACATTTCTGACATACGACTAGCTAAAAACCCAGAGATGTTGCATAAATTCTCGGATTCCAATGACTACACTTCATTCCCTGATTATGAGTCTACTTTGGGAACAGGACTCGAAAAGGCTACCCGGTTTGCACCTGGTCCATCTGTAAGTTTGTTTCATAATACCGCCTGTACCCTACTAACCCTATCCAGAGCAACCGAAGCCGTGCAGACTTACTCGTCGAGAAATTGATCTCCACGATAAACTCTGATGCCACATCCACGCCAATTAATTTTACCCTCTTCAGAGAGAACATTCTCCAAATATCCACCGAACTCCAAAAACAAGCAGAGTTGATCAAAACTAGCCCAGACGAATCCTTCTTAACACGCTCTGAAGCCTCTGCACTTGAAGCATACAGCAATCTCGCTTCCATCATAGCCAAAGCCTGCGACCCTACCGCATCATCAGCTGCAGATTTTCAATCCTCGCTCGAGACCTCCAATAAATCTCTATGCGCAAAATTAGAACAACATCTGTCTTTTATCAAAGAGGGTAAACATGTAACTCCAGCTCTATGGAATACTCTTCATACCCTTTACACAGCCTATGATCTTGCATCTGTGATCATTGGTGCTACGAAATTTCTCGCGCTTAAAGATGTTAAGGCTCATAAGCTTCAGGCAGAACAGAGTAAGACTTTGGTGGAAAGCGCAAAATCGATAATGGAAGCAGTAGCTGAGAAGTCGAAGGAGATTAAGAGTGGAATGGATGAAAGTGGGTGGATCGATCGGGTGTTGGAAAGTATGGAAGTAGGAGATTCAGGGGAGCAGTTGAGAAGTCTAGCGGGAGAGAATTTCATGGAAGAGTGGGCTGGGGGTATGGTGGAGGGGTGGAGAGATTCGGTTACTGGACTGGGTTTGTTGAAGTTATAAGGGGAAAGTTTTAAAATGGGCGAAGATGCAAATAGATGCTATGGGCTCCAATGTGCAGTAAAATATCGCTTAGGTGAGATATAGAGAAGCATCATAATAACTCATCCTCCCACAACCCTCTCTTTTCTCATGTAGTATTCATGCATCTTTCAAATATTCCCTCAAATAGATGTTCATATCCATGTTATATTATGTTTAACCTACTAAAATATATTCATAGAAATATTTTACCCTCAGATGACATATCAAATTCATCACATCATATCTTCCTCCGCAGCCTTCTTTTGCGCTTGTTTGAGAGCAAGCTGCTGTCTCTCCTCTCTCAAAGTAACAAAAACCCAGAACCAAGCCATCATTTCAATAAATCCCCATGCAAAAACAATGCGATTCTTAAGACCCTCACCCCAACCACCGGCATGATAGGAGTTGCGAGATGTAAAGATAGGGGAGGCAGACGAGAAAAGCCAGGAATACAGTGCTAGTGCCGCAGAGAAGGAAAATCGAATGGGTGCTGTGGAGTGAATGTTAGTTCTGGATTTGGCATGGATGAAGGAGGGGATGAACAACCTTGGGTTCCCCAGTGGTATTGGGATACTTCTTCCGGCATGGATATAGCTACTAGATCTGTGATACCGAGGAAGAGGAAAACTATTCCGAGAAAGGATATTGGTGCGGATTGGCGGTCGAAGGAGCGTTCGTAGGGCTGTTGCATAGATAGGTTAGTATATATGAGATATCCAGATATACATCTGGCATCGCAGATGTCGGAACTGAGAAAAACTGACCAATCCCATCGATTCACCCAGGATGAAGACCAGCGACTGCTCGGCAACCGTCGCCGGATTGGTGATGAAAAAGAATGCGAGAGTGATGTGGAAGAGGGAGAGAGAGGTAATGATTGTTGCGCCGGAAATGATCCCCATGTTGAAAATATGTTGCTGTATAGAGATGAATGGAAAGGGGGACGAGGTAGAAAGAGTGACTTTGGATGAGCTGGATATTTTTGGTCGAAAGATCATACCTATCTATTCATTAGAGCTACGAGTACAAGGCTAGATGCTACCCTGAAAGCTTTATTTAGGCGTTGTGATTTATCCGATTCCGAAGCAGGGGTAATGCCTATAAATAAGTGTTTATAAGGTTTTAGGGAAGCTCAAGCTGAATGGAATTATATACATATCAAGATCGTACAGTATTTCAAAATTCAACTATTAATCTACCAATCAATATGTTTGTTTCACATTTATTTAGGATTATTCAAAAGCTTACAATTACCTCACTGTATCTATTTCATCTTAAACCAAGAAGGCACATAGCTGCTGTATAATAAGGAAATAAAAGTGTTTTCTAAAGGGTTTTCGGGTTTGAAAATCTTGGCATATTTTTAATCAACTTTTGCTTGGTCAGCAATCACCAAAAATTGGTGAATCGTTCTCCGGAAGGGGCCTGTGTCATCACGACGCACTATGTGAATCTCCCGAGCTACATCCATGTCTTGAACTGTGACCCCTGAAAGTATCAGATGAGGGATTCGTAGACAACCTTGAGCTTGTCTTGTCTGCCCGCCATCAAGCAAGATTGTCAAAATGGCAGAAGCTAAATTGGAGGTCGCGAAACATATCAAGTATTGGCAGAGATGTCTGCATTCTCTATTGCCTACTGTATATACCAGTACAGATTCCTCGCGCATGACCCTTGGCTTCTTCATCCTTTCCGCGCTCGATTTACTTAATGTTGGCGCATCTACATTTCCTGAGTCGCAACGCAGAGCTATACGAGCTTGGATACTGAAGTGCCAACATCCGTTTGGAGGGTTTTGTGGTTCTACTAATCATAGGTTTCCTGACGTTTATTATGCAGATGTAGGGAATGGGAAACGAGATATTGATCCTGCGAATTTACCTGCGACGTTTTTTGCGGTCTTGAGTTTAGGTTTTGTGGGGGGATTGAAGGATGTGAAAAGGAAAGAGTGTTTGCGATGGCTCAAACGATTGCAGAGGGACGATGGAAGTTTTGGGGAATTCATCACGGAAGATGGGAAGATACAAGGTGGGACAGATATGAGGTATTGCTATGTGGCTACGGCGCTTCGATGGATGTTGACTGGAGATGCGCACGAGGAGAGGGGAGAGGATGATATCGACGTAGAGAGATTGGTGGGACATTTAAGAGCTGGGCAGACATACGACGGAGGGATTTCAGAAAGTGCGCAGCATGAGGCGCACGCTGGGTATACCTATTGTGCTATTGCGACCTTGTCCCTTCTCGATCGATTGCCAAAACACGCCTCTTCGAACTCTACCGAATCATCAAATCCAAACCCCACTTTGCCAGGTCTTACAAACTTGCCGGAAACTATCAGATGGCTGGCATTGAGGCAGACTTCGTATAATGATGAAGAGGAAGAAGATGAAGATGACCATAATGAAGCGACATCGGACCATCACTTTGTACCGGATGTCGATTCTACATTCGTCGGCTTCAATGGGCGGTGCAACAAGCGGGTTGATACTTGTTATTGTTTTTGGGTTGGAGGTTCTTTAAGCATGCTAGGTCGTTCCGACGTTATCAACAAAGATGGATCTCGACGATTCCTGTTTGAGAAAACGCAACATATGATTGGTGGTTTTGGGAAAACGCCAGGAGATCCACCAGATATCTATCACTCGTATCTAGGTCTTGCTGCTCTAGCAGTATTGAAAGAACCTGGCATCAAGGAACTCGACTCCGCATTGTGTATCAGTGTGGATGCCAAGAAGAACATAGAAGAGCTAAGGAAAGCTGCATTAGTTCCCTCTAGGACATATTGGGTGCATGGATACAGTTTCACAGTAAGGGAAGATAGCCCCCAATTTGGAGAAAAGATGGCAATGGATGAAGGTCCGCCGAAAAGTCTAATAGATGCTTTTGAGGGTGTTAAGATAGCGGCCTAATAACGGCGTTGTAATTCTTGGCTGGGTGTTTCTGTAGTACTTTTATAATGATACCACCTAAGTTCTTATCTTTGATAAATGTATCAAGTAGAGAGTGGCTTGAATGTATCATGCTCGCTGTAGACGTGTAGCTATCTTCAAGCTTATCTTCGGAACTTTTTGTCTTTGGCAAATCCCCTGAAACTCCATCGCGCGGCGTTTTATCGGCAAAACACCCGAGCTTTTGATCGCGTAACGTCATTCGCCGAAGCTATGAGCTTTGAGCTCTTTACCGTAGCTCTTTCAACCTCTTTAAAACACAACCACATTCAATATGAGACTTCTCAAATTTTCCCTGCTCCTTCTACTGGTAAACGCAGCTCATTCATTTGATTCGCAGACTCCAATTATCGATGAATCGTCCTCGGGCTCATTGAGCCTCCTCGAACTTCACAAATCCCTTGTTGAGATTGGATCTATTACAGGAAATGAACATGATGTTGGCGCATTCCTGATTTCTTATTTAAAGGAACAAAATCTTACCGTGGAGATACAAGACGTCGAATTGGTCGAATCATCATCGTCGTCGGGGAAGAAGCGTCAGAATGTGCTAGCATATATTGGAGATAAAAGACAAACAAGAACATTGGTAACTTCGCATATCGATACTGTGCCACCTTTTTGGCCATACGAAAGAAGAGGCGATGAAATATGGGGCAGAGGAAGTGTAGATGCGAAGGCTAGTGTTGCAGCGCAAATTACTGCGTACCAAGACCTTATTGCGGCCGGCAAGATTCACGAAGGGGATGTTGCGCTTTTATATGTGGTGGGCGAGGAAACGTTGGGGGCTGGTATGAAAGAGGCCAACAATCTGGGTCTTTCTTGGAAAACTGTCATATTTGGCGAACCTACCGAACTGAAATTGGCGGCTGGACACAAGGGGATAATGAGTTTACGTATTACCGCGAAAGGCAAGGCTGGCCATTCGGGATATCCTTCGTTGGGAAGAAATGCGAATGCGATGTTGATACCTGCATTGTATGAGTTAGGAAGAATGGATTTACCGTGGAGCGAGAAGTATGGAAATACCACGCTCAATATCGGAAGAGTTGATGGAGGTGTCGCGGCAAATGTTATTGCGGAAGACGCGATGGCCAAAATTGCTATTAGAATTGCTGCTGGTACGCCAGAGGAATTAAGAGAATTGGTTCTGGATGTGATAGAAAAGACGGGGCAAGATTTGGATGTTGAATTCACTCAGGGCTATGGACCAGTACATTGCGATAGTGATGTTGAAGGCTTTGAAACTATCACAGTCAACTATGGTACTGATGTTCCAAATTTGGAAGGAGATCATAAGAGGTATCTGTATGGGCCGGGAGATATCTTGGTCGCTCATTCTGATCACGAGCATTTGAAGATCTCTGATCTTGAGGAGGCTGTGAGCGGTTATAAGAAGCTCATCGAACATTCGCTGGCTTGAGTTATGTCATTTTGGATACTCAGTTCAGCACGGTGAATACGACGGAACTTTCAGCTACGTGGAATTTGATCAGTTGGGTTTTGACATCTCTTATGACAGAGCCTCGCTATAATAGATATTGGGCGCGAGCCTTTTTGATAGAGTCCCGGAATGGAATTTCCCTTCTTACAAATTGGGTTGAACTTCAGGCATAACTCATACCACGTGAATCTTCGAATGCATGTCTGATTGATAGTGTTAGTTCTAAAACTTTCCTATTTGTATCGCCCAGGGTGGTGATCTAAGTTATGACATACCATGGTACAGTGAGAAATTCATGAAAAGAGCGCCTGGCTAGGTCTTGTAAAGATGTTTGCGCTTTCTCAGGGCTATCATCTTCTGTGATACCTAGTTCACGATCTGTTTTTTTCTGGACTCATCCGAACTATCGATCCATCGATCCATATCAAAGATTGAATATTGAAAATCACAGCATTCTATTGCCGAAAATTTTGTCACATACAACCGCCAGTCCATTCTTTTCTTTCTTCCCAATGTCACACGCAACAACAAGATCCAACCTTCAGATCAATTCCTGTCGATACAATAGAATTACAAAGATTAGTACGTATGCAATTCATCGTGTTCCCACCACATCTTTCATTTGAGAGACGTGGGGTTAGATGGCCAATGACTAACTTGACCTCAAAGCACATCAAGCTCAGCCATCTGTTATTCCCATTGTTTGTCTCGAAATCTCATGAGCAAAGCCTCCTCAAACAGTGGCATCATGATCACAGATGCAAACTCCAGCGATGTTTGCAAGGCGCCATTTGAAGTCCCAGCTTGTGAATTCTATAAGTAAGTTGAACCCAGTTTCTATCCTAGCATTATCTTGCTAATTCTGTGCAGACGATGCGCGCTTTTCCATGGCGGAGATATGGTCGAGGTCATTTTAGAGCCTTCCAAAGGCGAGACGGGCAATGAAAAACGAGTGGTGTCTTGCACCGTTCTGTCCTATTATTCGAAAATCTGTGAGGAGAAACTCAGGTTGTTTCGAAGTAAAGATGACAGAGATTCCGACGATGTCAATGGTCAAAGCAACCATAACGCGATCTTGGAGTTAAACCAGTGGGATGTCGAGACTTTCGATATGGCACTCCAGTGGATGTATACTGGCAATATCGTCATCCACCTCGCGGAGCCCAAACCTTTTGAAGCAATCCGATTGTACATTCAATTTTTCAAGATTGCAAAGGCGTTAGAACTCAAGGGCTCTCACTCGAATGTAGAAAGAAACCTCACAGTTGAACTTGCCACTGCATCGGGAGAAGAATGTGATGAAGAGGACGAGGATGAGGATGAGGAGGAGAAGTCATCTATTATAAGCTCCGCGTTTAAGGAAATACTGAAAGATGCATTTGCATATCCCATTGAGGGACGAATCCGAGAGCTCCTGGCGAGCTTTTTGCTCAAGCCCTATGTAAAGCACTTACTATGCTCCGATACAGATGCGACAAAGGCAAAGGAGTTTAAGAAGTTATTTGAGGAAATTGAAGGTCTTGAATTGGATGTTCTGAGGTTAGTCGGTGGATCATTGAGTAGTCTTTCGATGGGTAAAGTGGATAGTGATGGGTATTCGAGGTCGACGATGTGGTGTCCGTTGACGGAATTGAGATTTGATACGGGGAGTGTGTATAAGGTTGGTCAGTTTGTGAAGAAGGTGAAGTTGAGTGATGCTTGAGCATTGCGTTGTTTGATTGTAAGGGTGGTTCTTTGAGCGGCGTTGGTGGTGTTCTGAGGATAGAGTTTGAGATGTCCATGGATCTTACCTAGTATTTCCATCATTCGTTGTGGCTTAGTTGCATTTTATTACACGTTGATTTTACATGGGACTTCAACCTTGGAGAAGAGCTGTGAGTTGATTATATGCAATGAGTCTTTTGTGATGGCATCTTATTTTTGGGATCTACTGGACATCTTCCAGGATAGATGCTTAGTTTACTTCAAAGTTGTTGATGTTGTTAGCAGGGCTGCCAATGGGCCATCCACCAGAGTTTTTGTCGACATTTCAGAGAACTCTACTGAGGAAAGGGTATGGTTTCAAAATTCATCTGTGACAATGCGACGCTACAGGTGCTAAACTTGTCTACAGTGGATCCATTATGGTACTACTGTTCGTATTGAAATCAACGAAAAGGTCAACCTCAACGGAAACAATGACGCTAAATAGGAGGTACGCAACAAAGTGGCCAGCTGTGTTATATATTGTGGCTGTCTAGCCCGTACTAAGACGTTCGTCATGCTGACCAGAAGATTCTGGCTGTTCAATTGTAAAAGTTGACGTATCAGAATGGTTTGAAATCTTTGTTTTTTCTATCCTTCACACCGTTTCCAATATTTTCTAATTCTGGTTGGTTAGATGTAAAGACGGCATTTGATACCATCGACGGGCTAGCGATCGAGGTGGTGAAAGCATTGGGTGACACAATGATCAGTGGATTTTCCATGGATCGTTTCGCACTGCAATGCTATCAGGATCCCTTAACAGAAAAGAGAATGAAGCCCTTTTTGAATAGGAATGTGGCAGACCTGTGTGTATACGAATCCGACCCATGGAAGGCTTATTGGATGTGGGAGTTTCCTTAGATTATTATGAGTTTAGGATTGAAGACTCGAAGTATTCAAACCTCAACGTTTTCGGAACATTCGGCTATCTATCTCAATATATCGGGAGGGGGCATTGGTGAATAGTATGCACACTTTGATTAGTTGATAATTACAATACAATCCTTCGAAATCAGTTCTTTTCTTTCAGACCGTGATATCTCTATATTCCCATCTAGCAGAGACTATTGATTTTAATCTTGTTCTCAATCAACCAGAACCAACGAGTGATCGAACGGTTGTGTTTAGATATTTCCAGACATATTGCAAATGTCCGCTACGAAGCATGAAAGAACAACGGATCTTAAGACCTCTCTCTTAAGCTCAATGTATAATTTGCTCCAACCCTACAATTGGCCGAATTCTATCACTAGTCACGGTCTGAACATTTCATCATTCATATAAAAAAGCGATGCCCTTGCTGGGCTCTTCATATGCATAGCTTTTTTTACATTGTAAGTGTTCAGCCATCATGTATAAATGGTCAAATATTAGCCTAGTATACTCATATACAGTCGGTAGTCAAGCAATCAATCATGGCAGGAAGTATTAATCGACGATGCTGAGCAATCACAGATTCAAACTTCTTCTCACATCTATCGCTCTAGCCGCAGCACCAAGAAACTGGTGAAAAATACTTTGTTTCCTTATGTTCAAGTGGTGCGTTCTATTTGAACGTCTTTTGCCTCTTTCCGTAACATTGTAACATCGCAGCAGAGGTAATGGTATTAATGCACATGAAGACTACCATGTGTATATCTCGTTTCTGGTCAATAAGACGAGGCAGAAGGACGAACATCAAGATCTCCGAGTATCTTGTCTCGTTCTCGCCTTATCTGACTATCAGTATGTTGCAGTTCTTCCGTTTGCTACTTATAGCATGAAATGACCAAACGCATTCGATGATTCCTAATTTATTCACAACACATAAGTGCAGCAACTTTTACCACCAGAATTTATATACCGAGTGAGACGTTGTATCTTCCGAGGGTTCTAGTAATCAGAATTATTTCAAATTCATGTTCAAACGGTTTAAGTGTTGCGTTAAGTGTGTCGAGGTCGTCGCTTCCTCTTTTAACAAATCGCGCTAAGAGTCCTGCATTCAAATAAAGAAGAAGGTGAACTTGGGAGGTTTCACTAATTCTCTCAACATTAAAGTTCAAGTTTTAAGTTTTTCTCTGGAGAATCGTCTATACAATGGATGACTTGAATCATCCGGTCTTTGGTACTAGTTCAATTCTTCCCACTCCAAGTGGTCTTTTAAATACAGCTGAGGTGTGCAACAAGCTTGCACCAGATGTATGCGACAACCAGCCTGAGCCATCAGATTCAACGATTCTTTTAGGTTCAAACAGTGTTCAATCTGATTTAATCCCTAATTTCCCAACTAAATTGAGTGAGAAAAGGGCAACTTTCAACGACTCTGCATCCAAGATGTTGGGTTCTTCCACCGAATACAATTCAGCAAAAAACAACAGTCAAGAAAATGCTGCCTCAACTGTCAACCAATTGAGTGCTAACAGCTCAGCCACTAATCGAAGTCCTCTAGCAACATTAGCGCCCCGTGCAATAAATACTTCAACATTCATGTCTCCTGCCAGATCAGTACCTGCTACGTCGGCGAGGTCTAACTTATTTGGCTCTAGCACAGTCGGTCCCAACTTCGAATCTTTCACATCTAGAGCAGTCAGCAATACTCCTAGCATTCAAGAAGTGCAACCTTCCGAAACTCTGTTTACTAATGGTAAATCTGACCCCAGAAACGTTCAATGACAGAGATGAACTTTGAAAACGCCCTGAGAATTCAAAAACTAACATCCCCTAGCCTCACATCAAATTCAGAGCGATACAGTCAATGCACCACCCCAGAAACGCGCCAAGACTACTCATAATATTGCTGCTCAACTGCCCGCCAATGAGTTCACAAATAGACTCGACTTGTTTCGCGGTCCTGAAGTTCTCGTCACCGCGGGTATTCACTTGGGGGTCAAAAGCTATCTCATACCTAAAGCATTACTTATTCAGGCCTCGCCATACTTCCAGACTGCCATCACAGTTGAAACTTTGGGTCAAATCACACGAGAAACTCTCAAAATCGAATGCTCAATCTTAGCATTTGATTTTGTTGTGCAATATCTCTACACTGGTACTTTTGTCCGCCCGGATATTGCTGGTTTTAGTTCTGGGTCACAACAAGTTGTAGGTCATAATAACCCTCTATGTAGGATAAAGCAATGCTAATCTCTCATTTTACATAGACAAATCTTATCGAATTTTACGAGTTGGCAGAGAAACTTAGTCTTGATATCTCAGATATGATCTTGGATGATATCAAACAGCTTCTTATGATAGATCGACTTTATCTTCAGGCAGGACACATTCATAAAGTTGTCAATTTTCCAAACGGACAAAAACTTCGTATGCTGTTTGCTCGCTCATGTATCCAAGCCTACCTTCAGTCTGCCAATCCTACTCATGGGAAAGCTCAGGAATTCCGTTTTCAAAGAGAGCTTGACTCATTAGATGGGTTCGCGGCAGATCTCATGCGTGTGTATCGAGAAGTGGCAGACAAACGTACACCTTGCATTTTCGCCGAATCGTATGATCTTCTTGATGGCAAGAAATTCTCTTATTGAGCGAACAAAAGAGTGATGCGCAGGAATGGTAGTAGTGGCTTTTTTATTACTTTACCATACTTTGAGCTCTCTGACTTACAATGAAACAAGGAAACCACGGAAGAATTTGATATTAGGACGTGGAAAACTGGAGGGAAAAATCATGTGGCATATCACATATGAAACGAGACGGATCAGGTAGAATTCTCGTACGACACTGAATTAAAAATGAAAAGGACCTTGTTGGCCAAATTATTTTTTAATACTGCCACCTACAATTAGCGTGAAATGTAACCTTATAAAAACTTGCTCTCTCATATTGAAATTCCATCTCAAAACAGAAACACCAATATACCTTGTTGGCCACCTGTTTCGAAACTATTTCAAACAATTTTTTTTTAGAATTTTGGAATCAACTTCTATTCAACTAATTCCAAACAAACATCACAGAATTTCCCCAAGAGTCTCGTATCATATCAAGAACAAATGGGCATTATGGACAACGAGGTCTTTCATTTCGAGGATGATGATGATGATTATCAAACCTCCAATGATGAGTATAGCGACGAAAATGAAAATGAACCCTGGGAAACCCGCAGCAGAAGATCAACCAATCCAGAAGAACAAGCTTGCAGGGAGATTCCAGCAGATCAATTCTTGAGGTAAATATCATCAACACACATGAACTACATATTTCCCCCAGAGACTCACAGTCACTCGAACTAACAAATCTTTCCCAGCAAAATCAACCTCCCCACTGAACCCACCGTCAAGATCGTGGTCAACTCTATGAATGGCTCTAAACAAACTCTCATTCTACCCAAAAACCTCCTCTGTACACGATCCCCATTCTTCCACCTCGCTTTCAATGCCGCTCTCAGAGAATCCGCATCTCAATCTCAAGAACTCCACCTCCCCGAAACATCCATCGCGGAATTCGAACTCGTGATTCAATTTCTCTCCACAGATACCTTTACATTCCCCCACACCGTCATCGACTCCCAGGAAAAACTCACTCTCTACCTCCTCTTCTTCAAATCCTGCCATCAATTTTCCATCACCGGTCTCTCCCCCATCATCATCCGCTTCCGAAATTTCCTCCGCTGGTGTTCCGCCCGCGGCGAATTCCCCGATCGTTTTCACATGCAACTCGCCATTTCGCTCCCCCCTTCCCACGAGGCGCGCAAGCTGGCTGTCGCTGCCTGTGTAAAACCGTATGCGTGCTCGATTACTAAATCAAGCACGTGTTATGGACGCGCGCTGTTTCATCTGGAGAAGTACGTGGAGGAGGAGACGCAGTTTGCGGCGGATCTGTTCAGAGCGTATACGAAGGCGGTGAGGGGCGCGTTGGGGACCCATACGATTGTTGATCCGTTGACGGGGACGGATTATACGGTTAGTACGGGGGTGGCGTGTCAGTTGGAGAGGAGTAGGGGGAATAGGTGTGTGAATCATCTGGGGAAGTTTTAGGTGTGGGGGAGAGGGGATCCTGGTTGAGGGAGTTTTGCGGAGTGGGAGTTGAGGATTGAGGAATTTTTTGCATGATTGATAGGGAGTTATTGGCGGTATTGAAGAGCAATGACAGATAGAGGATGGATATCTCATTTATCAGGACTGAATTATGAATATAAACAATTGCACTATACTTTTGCTTCCTTGCTTTACTGTCTTCGCCAAAAAAGTTTCAAAAAATTGAAAAACTCTGAGAGATTCACTACCCAATCTCATCATCACCGACCGGCCCCACAGAAAAAAGTCACCCAAAAGACCCTCCAAAGCAACCAGCAAAAGGGCAAAACTCTAGGCCCGGACGCCTAGAATCCCAATGAGCCAAATCGTTTTCTACGTTACCAGAACTTGCGTTGAGGTAGGTATTATATACGTTGTCACTGACGAAGCCCTGCCAGTGCGAGGTAGAGAGGCGGACATCATTCTTCGAGAATGACGAACCCTACCTGCTGCGCCATACGAGACGTGGGGGTGCTTGAAGATTGAAGCAATAATTTGATATTATATAGGTAGCGAGGAGGGAATTTTTGGGGTGGTGACTTATTGGGCACGTGCCTACCTATACTGTATGGTATTGAATGAATGCCCATGTGGGTGGGCATTTCAAGTTGATGTTGAGGGATGGATGTGAAATATGCTGAGGATGATTTTGATTGTGCAGTGTGTGTGAAATTATACTGAGACTTGCAACGATCGCAGATACATTTGCTTCCAGGTTTGCATGTAATCTTGCATTATTTTGCACGCGACTATCTACTCAGCAGTTGGGCGGACGTGGACTCTTGAGATCTCATTAATCACCGTCGCCAGCACAGATGCGCATACGCGACTCGCACTTGCAGGCTCGATGTGAGAGCCAAGGTCATAAATCAGCGACGTATGTAGTGCAATATCGTGATTTCCACGCTTTCTGCCAGAGTAAAGGCAGCATGATTTCATGTTCTTTTTTTAGTATCAGATAGACGGATATTGAAATGAGAGTTATATGTCGTAATGAATGTGGATGGTATTTGCGTGTCGGTGGACGCAGATCTAAATTCTCCTTACAAGCACCCATTTTTAGGCCCGCGTGTTTGCAGGTCCATTTCCAGGTATTCGATGCGCTCGATACCGGATTTTGATCAATGCGCTTCAGGCAGTACTGTTATCTGGATCAAGGGACCTTTTGGTGCTGCTTTGATAGAGCATGTCTCATAGAGCGCACTCGCAGCATCTGTAATCTGGAATATCGACATGCGTACCAAACATGGCCAGCAGTAGAGCCCTGTACCAACAAGACGCTCGCATGTAGTAATCTCGCGCCTGTCAAAACCCATGATGATTGTCTGAAAAACATCCACTTTCGCGGTTGAATAAGGTTCTGAAGCATACTAATGTTCCAGAATACAGTTTGTACAATGGTTTCGCATCTGCTGCCTACCAAACGAGTCCACAATCAATATCAGACGGTTCGGAACTGGCGAGACAGATCCTCCGGGAAGAAACCCGAGTCAAATACCCTCGAAGATCAGGCTCTAGAAACTTCTTGGCTCTAATCTAGAACGCATTTCGCTTCCATTTCCAACCAAAGCTTCGAATCCTTCGAACCCAAACGTCACTAGAGTATTGATGGATGGCCTTGCACGCAAGGCTGGGATTCCCCTAAAATTTCTGCGTCTTTGATCCTTCCAACGAACGGTGAGGCTGGAAGTGGAGTCGGACAGCCATGACACCTTAGATTTGCTAATCTTTTGAGCCGCCGCGCACGAGCACTGGCAATTTGCTTGCAAAGGGGAGCTTACCCCCGCAGATGGTCAAGCTTTCAGGGTGGGGGCCTGTAAGGCCCAGGAAATTTTGATGACCGGGTTGGCTTGGGCGAAAACTGCCTGTAATTTTCGAGCTGAGGTATCAAGTAGAGCTTTCCAGATGAAAAAACCGCCCGGATTTGGCTGGAAAGTTCATGTAATAAGCCGAGCCAAGTTTTCTTAAAGCAATTGAAGCAAGTGCTTGAAAAAAAGCATCCTCGTGTTGATAACGAAAATTTCTTCCTTGCTGCTGTGAAAGGAATGACATATGCAGTGAAATGGAGAAGGTGGCCGCATCATAGGCGACCACCCTGAATGCCAGCACCCATTCTCAGTACGCTCGCATCCTTCTTCGGATCGCCGAGTGACGAAACCCTGAGGCGGTCCCGAGTGAAGTCGAAACGAGCTCAAATGCGTTAGAGGCACGGGGAACCAACTACCGGAAAATGTTTGCGACTTGTCTTCTCGGATTTACCTCTTTCATGCCTCTGTTTTCCGTGCAGAGCTCCACCAGCCCCGACATCCTACGTGCTTTCCGATGTGAATCACGGGATTCTTTCCTGGAGAGAACCTTGGTGCGAGCAACCACGCAACTTTCCCGCCGATCTTGTGACATATGTCATTTGTGCAAATTGTGCTTCGGCGAGGCCGGGCGGATTCGATTGTGATGTGATCGAGTCACAAATTCACAATATCGGCAGTGGCAGTGAAGAGGTAACGGTTGACGGTACGACTAGGAGGTTTATTGTGGATCCGGTTCACGGAGTGAGCCAATATTAGACCAGATGGATCGATGGTAATGTTGATTTCCGATGCCATACGGTCCATACCTAATATTTTTTCGATGGTCTGTTTCAGTGTAACCTACGTGAGATGTTTAGAGGTTGTGGAGAACCGAGAATCCTGACTTCATTCGATGGGACATTTGATAGGCTTTCGCCTGTGATACACTACCTACATCTGTTTAGTATGATGTATCCCCACGTTTGGGGTTTTAGTTCGAAACTAGATGCTCTAATATCTCATTGTCTGGTCCGTTTGGTTGAAGAGAAAGAATTAGATCATCATTCTGAACTTTGAAAAGACGTGACGAATGTCCTAACGAATACCTACTTGGACAACCTGTGATGTAAGCAATTACGACGCAAGCAAGGCTCCGAGTGCCAATGTTCCTAAGACTTCGAGGCTCTCTCGGAAAAGTATACTGACGAATATACAATCCGATGTAAGCTAACACGCCTCGAGGCATCCGAATCCCAAGTATTTTGAGGCTCTTTCCATGGCCATAATTGGTATGCATCCGTGTCTTGCATTAATTCACGACTGCAAAATTGTAATATTAGGTCTTATCTCAAGCCGTGGACTTTCTCCTCATTCAATATTCTGTGCCTCAGTGACCAACTTCATGGGACTGCAGATGACCATTGACTTAGCACTGCCATACGGCTACTCCGATGTTTCCAAACAATTTCAGTATTCCTCCAAAAGTGTTGTATCGAAAGGAATAATACAGTAAACATTCATCAATCCCATCCAACAACCTCCTTCCTATCGACGGTATTTCCGGATCTCCTCAAGTGAATCCCATACCAAGGTACACGACGATGGTAATGATGAAATAATGAACATCTCCAATCCATACATAATACGAAGAACAATTTCTCACCCAAAAGCACATCCTCGTCTCTCCTAACTCCTCTTCCCTTCCCCCCCCAGAAGAAATCCAAACCCCTCCATCCCATCCCCCAACTCTCACTTCTCATCCAATCACCACCCTCCCTTCGTAAATCAAGCATCCAGTCCCCCGCCAAAGACTCCACATTATTTCTTCCTCAGCGCTTAAGGCCATTCCCCATTGCCTCAGCACCAATCAATAAGCACCCACTCGTAAAGGCATGCCACAGATCCACACAGCACACCCTTATCCGTGCCCTGACCCTGTCTCCCTCCAATTAACCATGCAGAGGTTCCCCATTCATCTAAAATCTCCGATCTGGCGGCGCTTAGATCCCTGTCTTGTGGCATCGTTCTTCCAATTTCCCTTCTTGTGTATCCAATAGCTTATCCGAGTTGGGAAGATGCCACGAGCAAGTCGGACGGTCTTTTCCCGCTTCCCGTTAGTGGCTCGATGCTGCTTTGTGCGCTTCTCCCTCAGTGCGTTTGTTTGGTTTTGCCCTCATCCATCGAGTATTCAAAATAGAAATTCTTTGTGCGTGCCGCATATGATGGATGATACCCGTATGGAAGGCATGTCATACAGTACAGTGAGACACGATTATCTAATTTTGGTAAATGTAACCTCCTCTGAACATCCCCCTCAGTTCCAGAACGTCCGTTATGGAGGAGTACACGAATGCTACAAAGCCATCGATCGATATGTATTTCTTTTCACGACAACAATAGCTAGCGATTCATCAAGGAGTCTGTGAAGGAAGATTATGCTTATTTTCCCCCTTCCCTCGAAGCCGACCAGCCTACAAATCGGGTTGTGTATTCCGTAGGGAGTTCTCAACGTTCCATGTGCTTATTACACTGCTTCTATTGTACCCCTAGTAGGTAGCTTATAGTTCTAGGAAGGAAGTTAGTTATCGATAGCACCTTAATCAGCCATACAAGTATTCTTTTAATGGAGCCTTTCCAAGCAAGCGTGATACGCTTCATCTTCGTCACTTTGTGGCTTGGACGGCTGGTGATATACGAAATATAGCTTATTTCATTCATGCAGCCATGGATGTTCCATATTCTGTGAAAAGTATGAAATATTTCCGAGAAACATGTCACATACATACATACATCACCGGTACTGAGTGGATTCACGGGGTGCATTCACGCTGTGGGAATCACATCGGTACTTGGTTTTTGGGATGTGATATCCAATATCTATTGCGGCGAATGCACGGCGGGGAGTGATTGATTGATTATCTCTTGGTGTGATGGGTCTTGGTGATGTGATTATGCGTGCTGCGTGATTAATCGATGCGATGAACGTTGAAAATCTCTGACTGCATGTGCAACGAAATTGAATAGTGAGAACTTGAAAGTGTGATTAATTTTGATTTAGATTTGGATATTGATGTTATTGATGTTATTGATGTTATTGATGTTATTGATGTTATTGATGTTATTGATGTTATTGATGTTATTGATGTTATTGATGTTATTGATAGATGTGTACGTTATTGTTCACACGTAAGAAAAAATGTGCTTCGGGAGTTGTATTTACGATGGGCATGCGGTCCGGTAGATCATGCATTTAGATAAAGACGAAGGATGGAATGGAGTTCAGAGATAAGTAATAAATTGCATAATCATTTTGAACTTGGAGGGAACTAATGGATGTATTCACGGGAATAATAATCTGTAGTAGTATAGGCAGTGTGATATAATATTGTTTTTTGTATTCATTGGATAGCTTATACGGAACACTCCACTATAGCTTCATCTCGCCACTCCTCCTCTTCCCCTGATCCTAGATTCTTCCCCTCTCGAATGATTCCTTCTCAGCACCTAGGAAGTATCCATTCACTCAGACATGCCCGTGAAACGCCGATATACAAAATTATACGCCAACAGCCAGCAATTAAGTCCCGTCCTCCTCAATGAAAAAAAAAACCTTATCCTCCACTCCTACTCCTGTACTTTCCAAAGTCCAAGCAAACCCCCCAAAATGCAATAATCAGCCCGCTTGTTAACACCAAAGCCGTGCTATGAATGATGTCCACTCCGGAACTCCAGATGAGACTCCAGGCTATAATCGCCGAGCTCGCACATTTTCCTCCCTAAACAAGACACGACGGTGCCATTATTGTCGCAATCAAGAAATGAAGCCATAAAGTCGTTAAATGTAAGATGATTTTGTTGGTTAAACGGCGGTGACAAAAGAAATATGTTATAATGAGTAGTGATGTAGATGTATGTAATACTAAAGGAATGTATTGATATAGGAAATGCGATAAATAGAGTGTCGAAATGAGGGGCAATATATTGGTATAAAATATCTACTCCACATGATGGTCGACTTTCCTTCTCTTGCCCTTGGGTGCGGGGCTCATTCGAGGTGTATATGTGACTGTTCGGGTGACAACTTCCCTGACTTGACGAACGCTTGACCGTGTTTGCTTCTGTGGTTTGATATCAAAGTATCTTCCTTTGGCTCTAAGATCCCAATCATATGGCGAACGTGCGCTTCGTGCACTAAAGGGAGAGCGTGCGCTTAAGGGAGATTCAGCATAGGAAGATGCTGGTGAAGCTGGAATGCGAAGACGTCCCAGGATTGCAGATGATGGCGCGGATGTTGGGTAGCTGAATGGAGTAGGAGGAACAGAAGTGGCTGGTGACTTATGTGCATCGCAATTGCATGAACAGTCACTACCTTCACTGCTAGTCAAAGATTCTGACGAGGGTGCAGATGTAGGTGTTGGCCTCGAACACTTAATCTCTGTAACGATGGGGCTGTTCATAGTCTTGAGGAAGTCGGTATATGCAAGTGGAGGGGTAATGGGAGTCTTGATAGAGTCTTCTTGTTTGATGATAAAGTCGGCATAGCCAGGAAGTGGGCTACGTGCGGAATTTGATAGAGCTGATAGCTCCGAGGGAAAAGTTGAAGACATTGGAGTCTTGAGTTGGGGAAGCTTGGGTTTGGTGGTAGACATTGATCTTTTAGGTGGAGGAAGAATAGGTGCGCTCACGGCTGCGGGAGCAGAAGTTTTGATTGGGGATTCCATTATTTGTAAAGAATGACGAAGTAGACAAAAGGGTCCAAAGGTGTGCAAGCAGCGGCGACGGTAGGGCTCGAGATCCGTGAAGAAGGAAGGGTAGAAGTTGAGACGTTTTGGGTCTTGGGGAAGTATTATAATATGAATTTCGAAACGATGTTTCCCCCAGTAGCTGAAGCAAGGTAAGGAAGGTGGAAGGTATGGTAACGGAAGAGATGGCGCCAAAAGGAACAGGGTCTATCTGTACTGACGAATTTAGTATCCAGTACTAAGTCAGAGGAGGGCGCTTGGGGATTTTGGCAATGAGCGTAATTGATGATGTTGGCCGCCTTGGTGGAGGCCTTTTGACAAGGCAAGGTGGTAGAGGATGTGGGTCGGAGGTAAGACAAGGGACGGAGGGGGATTAGGAAAGCAGCTAATAAACTAAGAACTTTGATTTTATTTGGATTGGGATTCTTATTCGATCGCGTTGCCGTTGCCGTTTAATTTATTTGGGACCTTTTCCAAAATGTCTGGATCATCCAATAATGTGCTAGGTAGAGGATCCTCTTGTTCAACGTGAGAGGGAGCAATACCTAGGTCGGCTCGTAGGTGGTGAAAAATACTGGGAACTTTGTACACAAGCAATAAAAGTTCCGATATGTAAAAGCGGCGACGCGTGAGGTGTGAAGCCGTTTGTTTTCTTTTCTGGAAGCGACTTGGGTTGATTTGGGTGATTGTTTTATATTGCACTTGGTCCGAGGGTTGTGATGGCTAGGAAGAAGTTCCACGACCAGGCCAGGGTAGATGGAAGGTGTTAATTCAACTTAATTGAGCAAGCAGATCTCGTCTAGTTGGAGATGAGTCTTGACCAGGAATCCGCATGTGAGTCTCTGAGACTGGAGTGAGAAATGTTTGCTAATTAGCTAGCAGGCAAAGGAATAGAGTATCGGCATGTAATCGGGAAAAATGTGTGTAATACAATAATTATCCTTAATTGTTCATGCGAGGTGTGCGAGTAGACGACCTAGGGAAGGGAAGGGAAGGGAAGGTATGCGGACTCCGGAGCAATGGTGGCAGTGAAGTGTGCTAAGAGTATGTAATCTTACAAGGGAACTTCAATACAACCCACGAGCTGATAGGATGATATCGAGATGTTGTGACTTCTAATGGTGGCGTCGCTCTCGAAGTTTGTTGTTCTATCCTACAGGGTCGGAGAACCAGGTCAATATTCTGAGCTGACTCGACCAATATCGACCGACACCGACAAAGCTATGTAGCAATCCTAAGACGTGATTCGCGTTTTTAGTTTGGCGTTTTGGGTGAACTGCAGGAGAAAGAAACCTGAGAAACCTGAGCGGTTGGAGCTGAATTTAATTTGATTGGCTCCGCTCAAATGGGGGTCTCCTCGTGAGTATAGGCTGTAAGCTATACTTAGAGCGGATGTCACGAACGTGTTCGGGCGTCAAAAGTATGGCTTTTGATTCGGTGAAGAGTCGATCGATCTAATGATTGGTGCTTTGTCCGGCAGGTGTGCGATAGTGATATTGGGCAGAATTGCTTTTCATTTGATATTAATGATGGACAAGATTCAATATCAATGTGAAAATGGGGGCCAAGTATAGGGGTGAGAAGGGGGCTGATAGAGCCAGTATTGTGGTTGTTAAAGTGTGTTCACGAGTGAGGGTTTCTGTGACAGCTGATATAATTGAGAAAAGAGAAGAGAAAATGTCGGATTGAATGAACAGATTATTTCAATATTGGGTTCAACGTTCTCATTTTGTAATGTGTTCTTACCGCTTCATTGTTTCCTCAATATCACAATCGACGCGCGCAACCAACCAGACAGAACCCTTAGAATTCAATATTCAAAAATATCGCATATTGCATATTGCATATTGCATGGTCGAATCATCAGTATCAGGAAAAAATATCTTCAATTGACAGCCTTACAATTTGGGCTCTTTCCGCGCGCCTGAAGGCTACCAGGGATAAATGGAGCCGCCAGCCACGAGGTTTTCTCAACAGTTGTTCAGAAAGTGGCTCAAAACACTGACATGAGTGGTTACCATATCACTCGGGGTTCTATCTCATGACCCGAGTCGATACAGCAGCGCGCGGTTCGGACTAAGTCCACAAAGGCGGGGTATTTGATTCGAATGGGAAGATGTCACGAATATAGTTTCTCGAAGACTGCGATACAACGACCTGTCAAGACTTACGATTCGCAATCCATGCGCCCTCACTTATCTCTCTGTCCTATCTCTCTTTAGAGCGCTCAACCTGGTGCATTCAGGGATTCTAACAGGCTTTACATGTAGCTTAAACAGTGCTCCTCTGTGCCACATCTGGCAGACAGATCAATACTACGGGTTGATAGATCGTATGCGGTATGAATTGCATTGGTCAATTGATGGTCAAGGAACTATCCGCAACATGATTAGATGGCCTCAATGCGGCCAGCGTCAATCTTGAGCATCATCATGTCTCAATTTTGAGTGATGATAGGAATCAGTATCTCGTGTGAATTTTCCTATTCTAGTTTGCTTGTAGTCGAGCAAAATCCGCATGGAATTATTGCAGCATGAGTAAGATAGGATCAGTCTATTGTCTTGCTGGGATACTCGGAACGGGGCGTAGGATTTAGTGAGATCGAGCAGTGGGATCTGAATGTGTCAGTACGCCTTCAATTCTGCCAAGTGTTGATACCAAGTGTGATGAAGAGACAACATGACAAGTAATCGACGTCTTCATCAAGGCTCCCAGAGAGGCAATATTCTCTGTTTTGGTGCCATCACAACAAGTCATCCAGGTGTTGTGATCTAATCTGCCAATAATAATGTACGAGCCGCCCTTGTTAGGGTGTGAAAGTCCCGATGCTCCACTCATGCAAGTGATTTTCACCATCATTGACGCTCTGATGATGACGCCTTGTAGCAAAGTTAATGATTAATATTCCGAGGAAACAAACGTGGGATGCTGGCACATGTGATAAACTACTACCCCGTGCTAGGCTTATCTTTGTGACCAGAACGAAGGCCTCTCCTCATTCGGAGCACAAATGGATCATGTGAAATCCCAATCAGTGACAAGGAGGGGTAACTACCAACTCTCATGATCCTTCAAAGTCTATTGAGACCTTCTTTTGATCTTATGAGGAAGATCTCGAGTGTGCGCTATTGAGGCCACAAAAATAGTTTCATATGCACGGGTCGCACTCGGGTTCTGATGGAGTCGCTCATTCCTTCGATAGATCTCCAGTGTCTGATCCGAAAAGCATGATAACATAAGTTTCGTATGACTCAGAGCCTCGCTGAATACTTCGCATGAAACAAAATTATGAAGCTCATAGTTTCGGATCCTTTCACGATAAATCTGTCGTGAAATCCCTTCGACTCTTTTTTAGATTGTCCGTCGCATTGGACTGAAGTTACCCGTTGTCTTCGAGGTGGAGGATTTGCAGATGAAAGGTATGATAAGATTGGCTGGATTGCTCATCCGTCTGCCCATTCATCTATGACGTGCTTTACGTGGAAATCGTAAGACGAATGGATTCCCACACAAGACAGATGAGTACTTGAGTATTTAGGTTCGAACCTATCGCCACAGGCTGAAATGTCAAACGATGATCTATCGTGTCTTTGGATTTAATCACTTGATAAGACTTCACTGCTTTTCGTTAGGGAATTGAGAAATTTGCCTCCTGGGTAAGCGGGACACTTTATGTTGTTTGATTGCTATACGGAGTCGTACGTTTCTAGATCAGCACAGATGCTACTCTAATGTACGATTAATATGCCAACGAGGTGATCTCCTGGTCAACATCTCAATCTTCTTCGGTGGTATCCATACTGTAGGTTCTGATTGAACAGACAAACGATTTCGCTTGGCCGCAAGAGGATACACGAGGAGCTTAGTCGAACGGTGAGAGTTACGATGGCACATTTAACCGGCGCCACCCGACAATTTGTGGATATAGCCTAAATCACCCTGGTAGACAGACAGCAAATCACCTCAAATTACATCTACCTAGGTAACTATTCTAAAATGCGGGGCATTATGGAGAACCTGGGGAATAGTGTTGTCAACGAAACTTTGATTTGTTGGTGAGGAGTCCCCAGACCAGATTAAATGCTTGAACTTTACCATATTAGGCCTTTCGTCCATCCCACTCCTATTGGCGAGACCTCAACAGCTGATATCTGTAGATGTATGCTGCTTACCGACAGAGCGTTCGATGTAGCCTTAGTACATATATTATAAAGGCTATATGCGGACCGTGGCTCCGTACGGCCGGTCTGGATGAGGTGCAGACTGGGCACCGGTTAATAGCAAAGGATAAAATGAATATGGGGTGCCCAGATGGCAGATGTATATAATCCCATGTTTCCCCAGTCGAGAATGTAGGACAAAACATTGTGGTGGATTCGTTGATTCTCCTCGATTCACATTTGTGGTTTATAATCTTGAGGCAACGCAGATTTTGTTACTGCAGTCAAGATGGATTTCCAACGTACTAAATCTACTTTCGAGCTCGCGGGCCAGGAGTTCCCTCGAGTAACATGGTACACGCAGAAGGGAATGAGAGGCTTGTACTGTTGTTTGATGTTCGTTGTTTTGACCTCTGCAACAAACGGATACGATGGCTCCATGATGAACGGCCTTCAATCCCTCCCCGCCTGGGAAGCTTGTGAGTGTTTCTACGATGAATTGTCCTATCTTGAAACGTGAAACTTACGATTGCTTTAGATTTCCATCCCACGGCCTCTCAACTCGGACTTCTCAACTGTATTATGTCTGTCGGCTCACTTGTCGCCCTTCCCTTTGTACCATACGCTGCAGATTTATTGGGCAGACGTACAGGTGTTATGATCGGTTGCACAATCATGATCATCGGTGTACTGCTACAAAGTTTGGGATATACCTTCGGCTTGTTTGTAGGCGCTCGATTTTTGATTGGTTTCGGAGTCGCAATCGCACATGGTGCATCACCATTGCTCATCACTGAGCTTGTCCACCCACAACATCGAGCTATCTACACCACCATTTACAACACTACATGGTACATTGGAAGTTTTGTTGCTGCTTGGTTAACATTTGGTATGAAACACATTCACCAGAGCCTTTGAATATTTAGCTAATGTAATCCCCAGGAACAAACAACATTGCAGGAAATTGGTCATGGAGAGCTCCATCCGTCGTACAGGCTTTCCCATCTATCCTCCAAATGACTTTTATATGGTAAGCCCCTAATCGAGATCTTTAGTTTAGGGAGAAGAAGCTAATGCAGGCCAAGGTTCGTGCCCGAATCACCAAGATGGCTCATTGCAAAAGGCAGAAATGAGCAAGCACTCAAGATCTTGGCAGACGTACATGCTTCTGGAGACCAAAACGACGAAGTTGTGCAGCTTGAATACCAGGAAATTCGCCAAACACTATTACTCGAGAAAGAGGTAGAGGGAAACCCATGGGCCGAGCTCTGGAAGACTCCAGGAAACAGACATCGTCTTATTATTCTCGTATCTCTTGGTTTCTTTTCCCAATGGTCAGGAAACGGTCTTGTCAGGTGAGTTGCTACCAGTCAAAAATATTTGAAAATGAAAATTAACATCATATTTAGTTACTACATTAACATTGTACTGGAACAAATCGGTATCAAGAGCTCAACTACCAAGCTTTTGATCAACGGTATCCTTCAGATCGTCAACATGATTGTGGCCACGGGAATGTGCTTTTTTGTCGATCGACTTGGTCGACGTCTATTGTTCTTGGTTTCCACGGCAGGAATGCTTGGTGTCTTCGTCGTTTGGACAATATGCTCGGCTCAATTCTCGATGCACGGAAGCAAAGCTTCTGCCAATGCGGTAGTCGTCATGATCTTCCTCTACTACGTCTTCTACAATTGTGCGTGGTCAGGTCTTTTGGTTGGCTACAGTGTTGAGATCTTGCCATACAATATTCGTGCAAAGGTAATGAATTTCCCTGCTCTTTGCTGGCGTTGCTAATTAAAATTATAGGGAATGACCGTCATGTTCTTGGCCGTTGACCTCTCATTATTCTTCAACCAATACGTTAACCCAATCGCTTTGGATCATCTTCACTGGAAGTATTACATATTCTATTGCGTATGGTTGGCCTTTGAGCTCTTTGTTGTCTGGAAGTTTTATATCGAGACACGAAACACTCCTTTGGAAGAAATTGTGAAGCATTTCGATGGAGACAATGCGCTCGTTGGTGGTCAAGCTGCGACCGAGAAGGCAAGAGTTATTGCCGCGGAACATGATCTGCAGCTTGGTGCCGAGACTAGTGATGGTGGTTTAGACGAGAAGGCAGCTACTCACCATACAGAAGAGAGGATCGTATGATTCTAATGTCGTTAAGGCGAGGTGTAGACGAACATGTAAAGCTTAATAGAGCTAGATACGGTGACGGTAATTGGTGAAGACAAGTAGTTCCTTTAATATCCACTGAATTCTTCTTTCCAATCCCTTTAAGCACGCTTCGTTGTGATTGATAGCATGTATGCGTTGACAAGGTCTGCTTTGCAAGCCCCACGTATTCGGAAAATCGACAAAGTCAAATATCTCCTTCGTGAGCCCTTAGAAATCCTCGAAATCCGAAGAACTTTGCCGTCTGCAAGTTATCAGGTCTAGGACGACTTGTTCTCAAAAAACACATTTTGTCGTGGTGGGTAAGAGACAAGTACCTCTCCTGATCCTGGGCCCATTGATACACATATCCTTTTTAGTGCTTCTCTCCGTAATTTGACGAGCTTTTACCAGCGACCACGGATATCCCCGAATGTTCGCCTCCCGTCAATTGAACCCCAATATGAGCATTCTTGCTCCAAATCCAAAGGTTAAGCTTTGCGATTCCGCGACTCAATAAACAATTTTAATTCTGTGGCCGCATCTCTGACAACGTCCTCCATCTCTTCTTTTGCTGTCAACAAAGGATAATATGCCGCAATTCCCTGCACGGTCAACCAAGTCCTATACTCACAAACATTCGCCTTGCCTTTCACCGCCACCACTTCCTGGACTCTTTCTGAGCCCAAAAGCCAATTGGGGTATTGAGTAGTCTTCGCGACCATCTTTCTGTGCACTGGATCCAGCATGGTTAATGTGACAGGTACACAGCGATCCCGTATATCTTCGACCCGAAACTACATTTCGAATTAGATTTTACACAACTCTCTACACAATGAGGAGTATCTCACGGAATATATCCCCTTGGCGCCCACGACTGGCAATTTTTCCTGATCATGCTCGAATTGATATTGGGAATAACCACTTCCGTATTTTTTGGAAGAGGTTATTACACGGAAAACATCGTCTGCAGATGCATTGATCTTGACACTTGCATAGGTTGTAAAAATGGCATCGTCCTTTTTGATGGAAGGTGTAGCAATGAGACTTTTTTCATCAACGTGATTCTGAATGAGAAGCACAATGATGAAGAGTAAACATGTAATAAGAAAGATTAGAAACCAGAAGAGGTAGACGGACATATCCATCATAATATAGAAATAGAAGATATATGAAGAGATTTTGAATGTAATGGATGTAATGGATGTTTTGAATGCAATGAATGGATGGAGATTGAAGAATCTTCTTTGATACTTGTACCTCAAGAAAGAGCTCTTTTTCCTGATTGATTTTTCATGCCATGACCTACTCATCCGTCATACCAAGACGATCCATAACTAATACAAAGAAAGTTACGTCTGTGGACTTTAGTAACTCTATTCGATGTATATATAGTAGGTATATATGTACCAACGTAGGTATTATTCCTTCGTACCGAGAGCGAAAAATGTCAAAATTTGCCGGAACATCGGAGTTCATTCGTACACCCGTACAGGAAATCCCAAATCATCGTAGCGGCTTCTTTATCCCACCTAGTCTCCACCCAAGATTACCAGAGATTGAGCTCGCAATTATAATTTCTCATAAATTGTATTAAGAATCTTACAAGTTTACCTATATCTACCTAGGTATATGTGTTATCTTTGATTTCGTCAATAGCTTCTTTCTGATTTGATATCTTTATATAAATTCAATCGTCTATTGTCGTCGCATTCATATGCATTCATTCTTTCACTTGTGAGCTCTAGATCACATCTCTCATCTGATGTACAAGTCAAGCTTCCATTGAAGGTTACCAGGTAGGTAGGTACTTGTAACCACTTCATCACCCCACTATTGTATCAGCCGTAGCTAAGCCCAGCCCACCTAAACAGATAAGATTATAAGATTATAAGATTATTACCATTACCATTACCATTACCATCCGTGGAACATTCGCACAATTCGAAATCATCCGAGAAACCATCCGCATCAATTCTTCAAATCCTCAAACCCCTCAGCAGCGCATCGCACTCACACATACACAAAATGGATACCTCGAAAGTCTCAATCTTCAAGACGTACGATAAACCTCGAGGTCAAGGAGGCGCGAGTTCATTCGCGACCTTTATGATCATCGGCCGTAAGTTTTCCCAATAATGCTCGATTGAACCACACCCCAATTGACACATCACAGCTGTATGCTTCTTCCTCGGGATTCTCTTTTCCTCATTCCCGTACGATTACCCTCTTCTCTGGACCACCGAAAGTACTCCTGATGCCTACTATACCTTCATCGAAGAGCATTTGAAATTCATGCACGCTTCTCCACCCATCATTCCACGTATCCTCCACATTGTCGTCTCAGTTGGATTTATCGGACTCTTCATTAAGCTTTTCAAGCCTTCAGAAGCCAATCTCCTATTCGATGGCGCATCACTCGTTCTCTATGTCGTAGGCGTCGTGGTTTACATCACCAATATTGTCAAGGGTATGCGCATTGTAACACTCGGATTATATGGCGAGGCTGGTGCGCCAGAAGGAGAAGCAGGCGTAGGAAGAGAAGACAGTTTGAGGGTTTTGGCAGCCAGTAACACGATTTTAGCTTTGGTTTTGGTGGGCGTGTTGGTTTTGCAAGCCGGCCAGTGGTATGCGGAGCGTAAGGACCAAGACGAGGCGGAGAAGTTTGAGAAGGAAGAGCAGGAGAAGAAGGAATTGGATAAGAAGCAGAGGAGTGGAAGTGGGCATGTCACGAGATCGGTTTCGAAGAAGAGACAGTGAGGGATGTCTCTCAATGGGAGGATTGTGTATCTATGGTGGATGGGGCACGAATTTATGTGTAGTAATATTCTTTGGTTCGTTTTATACGAAGAAATCTATTCTCAATAAAAGCCAATACTCTTACCACCACCGAAAAATCCCATACCCACGGGTCTAATGTGATCTGCATCTTGGGCTTTGACGAATCGTTATTAATTTAGCAGGGCCTCTTTCATTACCCTCATCCTCTCATCCGCTCCCCACGTCTACACATACACACATCAAACCTAGCCGAAAAATGGTCAATTCTAGAACACTGATCTAGAAAACCTCATTAAGCATGAGCATGAGACGAACAGAGACTATACATCTTCACTCACATCATATATTCTACTCCCCAAAACTCTCCTTACTCTACATCGAATCATATCACCTCACACCACCTCTGCACTCATAAAAACCAGTCCAAATTAATCTGCTTCAATATCCATTACTATCAGTATCTCAACGACCTTAACTACCGGCAAACCTATCCCAAATGTAATCAAATTCCTGTAACTCGTCGATTGGTAATATGATTGAAGTGAGATTCGATATTCATATCCTTTTTAGATGGAGAACTCCAGATGTGAAGTCGGGACTCCAGATATGTTTCCCTTCCTGATATGTATGGTATGCCTGTTTTCCCTTCCTTATATGCGCCGTGATAATTTTCGTGTAGAACCTGATTTAAATAAAAAAGTAAACGAGTAAAATGTTAAACGAAATTCGCAAGTAGAGAATCGGGGAGGAGACGATGAGTCCTGTGAGCTTATATCGAAAGACATCATAAAGTCTTTGACAGGCTGTTAACAAGCGATAGCGATAGCCAAATCTTCAGCTTCCCAAACTCATGATATCTTTCAGGAACAAACCCACATGCAAACTAAAATGCTTACTCCCTCAGAAGATCCTCCCTCCTCCCTAAATCTCCCACAAAATATTTGTCTGAACATATAACCCAAAATCGATTCTATTCAACTGCATTCCCCTATCAATCCTCTCATGCATTAACCAAACCTTCGCCTGATTCTCAAACTGTTTAAACTCTCTATATCCCATACGTCTCGCCGTTCCCTTTTCCATGCCCACACTCGTCCATTTCTTCTTCTCAAGCTCACGCGGGAAACCCCGATCTGATTCACACCGATTACTTCGCCCATATGCTCTCACTACCACAAATACATGTTCGAGATGAGGAAGACGATCCATGATTTTCTTGAACACCTTGTCGAATTTGCAATTAACTTGATCTTCGGTCCATTGTTGGAGTTGCTCAGCGCTCATGGCTTCAAACCCGACAACTCCTGGGCAATCAAGTGAGAGGTTGATACCAACTGATCGAATCTTGTCGAAGAAGTGAGGAAGTACTGACGCAGGAGGGAAAATTGGCTCGCCGGGACGATGGGGAGCGGGTCTTGCTACGCTTGCAGGTGTAGCGGGAATGTGTTGAAACAACGAGCCCCAACTTATTGTGGTTACGACAGGAACATGTACTGTGCCTATGTCCGCCTATGTATTCATTAGCCAAAGGGATCAAGATAGAATATGGTGAATGCGTACCTCATAACGAGCATCTTCCTCTTCTTCTTCGATTTTATAAAGTTCTTTTTCCTTAGCCCTCAATTCCTTTCGCATGTACTCCGGACTAAACTGTATGGGACAGTACATCGGCGAAGGACAAAACGTCTCATCTCCGAATTTCAAGATAAAGTCGTCGCTGATGGGGTTGACATAGAAATATGGCTCGTCAACCTGTTGGGGGTCGGTGAAATCATGCGGGACTCCCTTCGCGTCAACAGCATAGAAGTATTCCCTGCCATATTTTCGTGCTTGCTGACATACCTGCATAAAAGCTGGTGTAGAAGGATAATTTTCAAACTGGAAAGTGTTTTTTCCGCAATGCCATAACGATGGTGCGCCTGACTTGTAGAGCACTTCAGTGCCAAATGCTCATTTGAATTTCTTCGGGAAACTGGTTGAATTTTTCAAAGAACACGAGAGATGTTCTATCTTCTGCGAGCTCAACATCGGAAATACTCATTGTCAGCCCTTCAACATTTGTTTCTCCTGAGGGGGAAGGAGCGAAATCCTGATTGCTGTCTTGGTTGTCGGAGAAATCATCGAAGTCTTGAAAGGCGCCGTAGTCTTCTTCTTCTTGGTCACTGTCAAAGATATTAAAATCATCGAAGTACTCATGATCAGAAGTGTCCCCGATCCGGTTGTCATTTGAGCTATGAAGCTCATAGTCTGATATTTCGGTCATGCTTTCCGGAAATGATGTTTGTAAGATGCAAAGTCAGCGAAATAGTGAATTTTGTTGTCTTTCAAATCAATGGGTATGACTCTCTTCTGAAGATGCGAAGGTGCAAGTTATTATGAATTCAATTTTTGGGGGGAAAAGCTTAATGAAATAGAATATGTGTCTTGTGAGTTTCTTAACTGTGTGAGAGTGTGTGGAACGAACTAGTACGTAGCTAGAGCTAGTCTCGTAGTCCAGACTGCTAAGTAGCTAGTAACTTTTTGATCGTTCTCAACTTTCACATGCGATGAAAGTGGTCTTTAAGAAAAAAGTCAAGATAAAAGTGTGAATAGATATGCCTTCTAATATGATTGTCAAGCTTTTGAGTAGTTTGTGCCTTCTCTTCCTGAGGTCTGATACCTTTATATTTGGCAGACTTAGCCATTGATTCTACAAGCAACTCGATTCTCTTTTACTCCGACGATCACTCGAGAAGAAATTTGAAACGAAGGCCAAGAATGTAGGTATGGTCTACCACATACCCACACGTCTTGGGATACTTCATCCTATACGGGCGCCAGAAGAACATCATCATCTACGTTTAATGAGTGTCACATAACGTTATCACCACTATAAGCAGAGCATAGAAGCCCAATACAACAAAAAGGATAATAAGACTTATCAACAAACACCTCTTGATTCTATTCTACATCCTCTTTTTCTCATAGCCCAATAGAAACCTTGTCTCCCACCTTGATGACTGGAAATTGATGTTCTTTATGAGGTGACAACGAAGGAACATGACACATATGAGAACCAAAGAAAACCTTAGATTCGAACCTTCGTGTTTTTGCCAACGTAACAAAAGGTTCTTCGTTCTTTTCAGCAGTATCCTGATCAACACATATCATATGACAACGCCTACAAGATCCTAACATCTGATATGTTTCTGAACCAATATGTAAAGTACTCCAATGATCTTCACTATATGAATGATGGCTATCGGTCAATTCAGTTGATGCTAGTACAATATTCCCTCGAAAGACCGAGGCTGAAGCAAGTTTACCGCCACTCTTGGCTATTTCTTCGTTTAGCATATTGATACTGGATCGATTAATGGCAAGTATGGGACTTTCATTCGACAGAAGAATTGGACGTTTTCGATTCTCACTATCAGAATCCGGTGGTGTTGGGGGATCGTGGGAAGAGTGGGTAGTCGATTTCTCAATTGCGACCGATCGATTTGGTCCTTGGTGCTTTTGCATGTGCGCCTTTGCATGTCTCGAAGAAGGACCACTACCACCAGCAGGAAATCTTGCCAAAACACAAGGTACCTCTAGAATCTTGGAGAAAAAATCGTTAATTTCATGATTAGAGTAAGTCTGTGCCGCGATAGCATCTCCGCAGACCCTTGATGACAATGAATGAATATTATTTGGATTTTTGTAAAATGACGGGTCAGATGATAAGGAGACACTGATTTCATCCGTCAAAATAGGTAAGGTTGATCCTTGATATCGAACCTTCAGCAATCCCAAATCAAAGTCGATTGTTGGTTTGATGAGAGCCATTCGAGGATAACGTTTTTGACTTAATGCTTGTCCAGTGCCTTGATGAATAAGACACCATTCCCTATCCCAAGCAAGTCCTTCGGGCCTAACTTCCCAAGCAGTTCCCTTCAGGATTTCAAAGCCACCACAACTTTTAATTGGATAAATTGTAAGACTTTCGACATACATGTCAACCGATTTGTGACTTTCGGTGTCCTCATCGGTGAATATAGTTGTGTGGTCTACAAAGAATTCGTCCACAAATGAAAGAAACGACTCAACATCGCTCATCGTACTCATGGCTCCTAAGCTCACACGAATTACCCCCGTTATTTTGCCCGCATAAATGTCGGTCTCTCCACCACATCGGAGACCAGCAGAGAAATTTCTCTTCGTTTCCCATGGTTGAAGCTCCAGTGCTGATGCAACACCACCAGGATTACAAAGACCACCAGTTCGAATGTGGTAGTTTCTTATCGAAGCCAACCTCTCAAACTCAACATTAGTTACCCACGCCCCGAAGCTGTTCTTGACGTTGAACGCTATTGTAGGTCCTTGTACATTGGAGGAAATTTCGGAGGAGAAGCCAGGGGAATAGATTATACAGGCCGGTTCGGAGTTAGCATGCCGTAATGATTTCAGACCTTCGTACAATTTTCGTGCGAGAAATGTGGTGTGATTTGCAATACGTTCCATGGAACCATACAATGATTTGTGAACATCTATTGCTGCTTCCAGTGCCATGATATTATGGAAAGGCAGGGTGCCATCCTCTAGAGTTTCATGCAAGGACTGCCCTTTCGGAGCATGCCACTGCTCTTTCAGACACACTACCACTTCGACAGTTCCGCCTCCAAAATATTTTCTGGTTTGAAGTATCGCTCCAGAATCTCTACGCACTATCAGGGCACCGAGATCGGGGAATCCAAATATCTTGTAGAAACTAAGGACCGTAAAATCAGGTGCCTTACGAACATCACTCAAGTCTAGTGGAGAAGTAGAAACTAGAGCAGAGGCATCTAATAGTGTGTATGTAGTTGCCTGGGTTTCATAGCTAAGATTTCGGACTCTTTCTGGCCAAGACAGTGGTAGACGTCGACCATCTAAGTTTGATTGTGCTGGATATGCGAAAAGGCCAATCTCAGAATTATCTACCTTTCTGACAAGAGGCTCTGATCCAGACAGCCAACACTCCACGGCGTCATCATCGAGACAACGACTTGACACGGCATCCTCTCGCACGCCAACGAGACTAGTATGCGAATCTTGGTGGTATCCATATAAGAACCCCTCTTCTTGGCCCCTGAAGGCGTCCATAACAAGTTTGATTCCAGCCGTAGCATTCGCCACAAACACAACATCAAAGTCTTCTGGGTCGGCGTTGAAGAACCGCAAAACATTCAGACGGGTATTCTCGATGCGCGAAGTCGACAACTGCGAGGATGTAGAGGCGGAATGTGGATTTCCATATAAATTCGACATCATATCCACCATATATCTCTCCATGAGGGACTTTGAGTAGAGGGTTGTACCGGCATGATCAAGGTACACGGCATCTGGAAATTCTATCAGCTTGGCACATATGTATTTGGGAGAAAACTGACCTTTGAGCATGGGATATTCATGCTTCCTGAACTCTTCTATTGCCTTGTTATACTCCATGTTATTTATGCTCGGCTCAAATAACACCAAAATTCACTGACAAATCTCACTTCCTGTGTCAATCAAGGGGGATTTAAAATCGAAGTGAAAGACTTCCAGAAACTTATTTGACTGTTCATTCTCAACAACGCAGCTATGATATTGTGACATATAATGCAATGAAATGTTTTAGTTCTCCCCGCATGAACAACGATAGGACAGCGGAGTTGGCCGCTTCATTAAGATTCCCCTTCGGCTGAGCATCCATGCGTTCATCAAAGAAATACTGCAGCCTAAGGCATGTACAAAATTGTGGACTTTGCGGACCTCCATACAATTTTTTGGATCGCGAAATATCTCGTCGAGATTTGAAAGTCCATCACCCCTCCAAATATGTTTCGCTCGCGCTTCCCTAGGATAGGGCGCTCTGTGCAGAAGAACTTCTTCAGAAGCATTTCCCAACATGTACCGCCATTGAAGCATGATTTCACAAATGGCATTCCTGAATTCATTGGACCTCAAGCTTTCGAGCTGTCATGGACTTCATATCAAAAACTCATGGTGGACAAATTGAGTGATGCTATAGCTGGTGGGTTATTTCTTATGATTTGGATTATTCTGCAATTGGTAGTCAAGGCATTCAGTCTGCGAGGAAGTTTTGTGAAATCGAAATGCAAATTGCGTGGTTGCCTCTAAAACTGCTGCTATGTATCCTACGATACAACTTATAATTGCTGCTATATTCCTTACAAGATATTCTGTAACTGACAATTTTAAAGGAGTTCCCCATCTCGATGGAAAACAACCCAAAGAAATCGCTCTTCTGTGTGCGCGAGATCCAGACCAGGCGGCAACTTTCAACTATGCTTCTATGGCATTCAATAACAACTTCTTTTTCAACTGCCTCCAACCCAATCCAGTTAGCGAACCCGTCATGTCAGAGAAACTCCGAGCCGCCATCGAGAACTCTTTTTCCTCAGTCGATGGGCTCAAAAGGGAATTCGTCATTACTGCTAGTAAAATGTTTGGGCCCGGATTCGTCTGGTTAATGAAGGATAGATTCGACGGACTGTCCTTAATGACTACATATTTAGCGGGCTCACCATTTCCTGGTGCACATCATAGAAGACAACCAAAGGATATGAATACCGAAAGTGAAAGTGTGACGGACTTTTACAGACAGAAGTTGGCGGCACCACCCGTAAACACAGTAGGAGCACATGGACATTTAAGCAAAGAGAGGAAACCACCGGGAGGGATTGAAGTCACACCCATTCTCTGCGTCAATACATGGGAACACGTATGGATTGCCGATTATGGAATGGGAACTGATGATATAGGAGGAAAGAAAGTTTACGTGGAAAATTGGTGGAATGTCATTGATTGGAGTGTTGTGGCGGATCTTGCAGCTTTGTCTGGTAACTCGGCTTCAAAGCTTGAGAGGAATTAGAGATATAAAATTTCACTCTGCATAAGATATGAGGCGGAGGAAACTACACTGTGGTATATCTGGGAGATGGCGTTCAAGGTATTTGATGTACTATATGTGTGAGGTCTCGACACAACTGCATTTAGAAGTGTAGAATATGAGATGGCGGACCAAAATACTATTGTTTATAGCTCAAGTTAGAGAGGAAGTACTCCGTTCAACATGTGGAATGTTCAATCATTCTGTGCTAGTAGCCCTAAGAGAACATTCTGAGGCAGATTTGACAAACCATAAGTTTTTCCCTTTCACATAGATATATTGGAACCGAGCTGAAGATTCACCAAAACACAAAACTTCCACTCCACATTGTTTAAGTAATTCCTGGGTCATGATGAGTATTTTCTTTGAGTTTTGCCTTGCCTAAACATACCTGGGTACCTAGTAGGTATCTTCTACCCCTCCTCACTTCCGGACCAAAACACAACCACTTTGCCATGCAGAAATCCTCACTACTTGTCGGCTAATTATCCCCATGGCCAAACACCCCTATGTGTGATTGGCAGACTTCATCGAAATAGCCGACAAGTTACCGGCTTGAATATTCTAGTGATAATATAAATCATGATTAGTCCTTTGCCCAAGGATTCTATTGGGTAGATCACTATATTCTCTTCAAATTATATGAATTACATGCAAAGGTGGGAAGTGGAAAGTAAGAGATGTCGACACTCGAGCTCTCCTGAACTCGTTCTTCTGTTTGTTCTCTATTCTTTCATATCTCGTTTTATTTTATTTTGTTCTATGGCATTGTATTACCATATCCCTTGGATTTTTAAATACAAGTTTAAGCATGATTATGAAATGTAAACGGAAACGGAAACAGTGATAGAAATTGGTCCCCGAAAAAAGAGTAGATGGATGGGTGATTCATGTCATTCTGATGTATAATGTATAATGTAAAAATCCAATCAACATATCTCCATCCATGTTTCAAACCCCCCCTTCCCCCATACAATCAATAATCCGCGTCTACATCTTCGACTGACGCCCCTCCGATTCCTCAGTATAGAAAATATCACCACCAGCAACAGCGCCCTCAATTCTCTGCTTGTGAGATGTGGTGAAGTAACAAATTCACAAATCGACAAATCGACAAATCATTGAAGTGGAATATACTCCTCTTTATTTTTTTTCATTCATTCATTCACTTCGCTTCGCTTTTCTTCATCTGCGCGCTGCTTATGCGTACATGCGTACTATGTAGATAGGTATTCTTGAGTTTATGAAGGATAAGAATAAAATGAGATTGAAATTAGGGAAAAGGAAGGACAAAAGGGAGAGAAAGGAATTTCGGAGTTCGTGAACGAAGATGAGTTTGATGGAAGGAGAATCGAATTCTAGGGGTTCTTAGGGAGGAATAGGGGAGGCAGAGGGAGAGGGGGGGATTGAAGATAATAGATGGATGGTTGGATATCCTTCCTATCTATCTATCTATCGTCTATGAAGCTCTGAAGAATTTCGATTTTATTAGGACACAGTAGTGATACAGCAGTGATATATTACCCAGATACGGAAGAAAATAAATGTGACCGGGGTATGTGGATTGAGTAATGAATCGAATTTGGAGAAGATTGAGGGGGGATTTACGAGGAGATTTAATTTGAGTTTAGATGTTATATACATCCATTCATCTTGAATTAGAAATAACACTCAGAAATAAGAATAAGAACAAAAATAAGAACAAGAACAAAAATTAAGAATAAGAATCTATAAGACTAGAGTAGAGATGAAAACTTAGATATAATGAGTATATATAATGAGTACTCACTAGATAGCTTGGATTCTGAAAGATGTGATGTGATGTAGGATGAGATGAGAAGGGAAGGAATAATATTAATTACATTAAAATACACATATATATATATATATCGAATCATTCTATATTCTATATTCTATATTCTATATTCTATATTCTATATTCTATATTCTATATTCTATATTCTATATTCTATATTCTATATTCTATATTCTATATTCTATATTCTATATTCTATATTCTATATTCTATATTCTATATTCTATATTCTATATTCTATATTCTATATTCTATATTCCACATTCCACATTCCACATTCCACATTCCACATTCCACATTCCACATTCCACATTCCACATTCCACATTCCATATAACAGAAAACTCAATCGAAAACAATTTTTGAATACATATTTCCTTTCAAAATCAAGATTGAGATGAGAGTCTTCTATAGGTATCCATCAGACTCATACTCAAGACTCTTACGTGCTAAGTGGGAGTGAACTCAAGTAGATCGTCAATCAAGAAATCACTATACATTAAACACAAGTACAAAGACAAAGAATCAATCAATCAACAGAAACCAAAAAAAAACATGCAAAGTCCAAATCTGAATCTGAATTTGAGTTTGGCATTCGCCATATCCACGTATGAATAATTAATGTAAATATAGTATAGTAATATAATCTGCCTAAAAGCTTATGCAAAAATGCAAGCCCATATCTCAACCTCTACTCCAACCGCTTCTCCCAAGCCGAAATGCTAAATATTCAAATCCAAAAACAAACATAGAAAAAATGCCCCAATCCTTCAAGTATTTTAATTTATCCCCGTTCCATTCGTAAAGGTTGGATACCATGGCCATACCATACTTCTGTAATGTAATGCCAAAAAACAAAGGAAATATATCATATAAATATCTTGTCATGTATATATATTCCAATCCCTCTCTTTAACAAATCATCTAGAAAAGATGGATGGAACCCCAACTTTGCTCACAGCCAAATCCACCTGGTTGTTTCCAGAGGTCGTTGGTGTAAGAGAAGATGGCAGCACGTCCACCACACGACTCGATGATGCTAGAGACGGCAGTCTTTTGCTCTTCTACACCCGGGCAAGCAGCTCCGTTACAGGTACCAGCGGAAGGCCATCCGCACTCGAGGTTAATGGCAGTAAGACCAGGGCAGATAGCATCGGCAAGCTCGAGTTGGGAGAGAGCGAATTTACCAGCATTTTCGGCAGTGACTTCAGCGTTGAAGAATGGGTGAAGGTTAGCACCAGTGATGTCGACGGCGGAACAGAGGACACTGGTGTTTTCTTGCCAGATGTTGAGGGGCTCGGTGGTGGTGATTTGACCAGTGTATCCAGCACTTGCGAAGGATGCTCGGGAGGAGCTGATGAATCCGGCGAGTTCAGAAGCGGTAGTGTGACCACCAAAGATGGCTTCGTTACCGACAACGATAAGCTCAACGAGAGACCATTGTCCCCATGCAATAAGTTCAGTGACTTGATCGGCTGCTCCGGAACATCCGGTCTCGCTAATGAAGATACCGACGATCATTTTGATACCAGCAAGCTTGGCAGCGTTACCGACGTTCTCGAGTCCTGAGCAATCGGTGCTGTAGATACGGATGGCTGTGAATCCCTTGGAGGCAATGAGTGCTACATCAACGGAAACTTCTGCAGCAGTCTTGCAAGATCCGGAATCTTGGTATGGGGAATAAGTCATAGCCCATTGCTTTCCAGTGCTTCCTACACTGCCTCCATTTCCGGAAGAGGAGGAAGTGGAGGAGGCAGATGGAGATGCAACGGAAGATGCAACTACGGAAGATGATGGGACAACGGATACAGCGCTTGAGGATGGAGCAACATAAACTGAGCTAGAGCTTGGTGTTGCGACTGGTACTACGACAGAAGTCGTAACTGGGGCTGGAGCAGAAGTAGCCTGGGCAGGTGTACCAGCTGGTAGTGTGGCATCAACAATTGTGGAGTATGATGAAGAGTAAGGGCAGAAAACAACCACATTAGTTTCGGTGATGGTAGTGACAACTTCTGGTTGTGTGTAGGTTCCTGGAGCATAGGAAGCAGGAGTTGGGTAAACCCAAACAGCGGGCTCGGTAACGGTAGTGGTTAATGGATTGATGGTGTATGTTCCTGCGGATGGGCATACATAGGTAGTGGTCAAGATGGTGCTTGTGACTACACCTTCTGAAGTTGAGACAGCAGCGTATGGGCATACAACGGTTGTGGCAGTGGTTACGACAGTGGTGACACCTCCAACGGTGTAAGTTCCTGCGGATGGAAGACCAGTTGATGTAGCACCACAGACAGTGGTGGACTCAGTCAAAGTCACAGTGGTGGCTGGAATGGTGTAGACACCTGGAGTTGGGCACGTGGTTGCCAAAGGAGTGGGGACAACGGCTGGGGCAGTTGAAGCTGGGGCAGTAGGAGCAGTTGATACTCCCTTTGAAGTGGCTGGAGCTGACGATGCTGGGGCAGAAGCTGCTGGGGCAGATGGTGCTGGTGCCGATGAACCTGGAGCAGAAGCTGCTGGTGTCGATGCTATTGAGCAAGCAGTTGCCATAACAAGTGATCCGTTGCTATCAAACGGAGAATATCCGAGGCATGATGCATACTTAGAAGCACAAGTGGATCGGTTTGCATCTGGAGCACTTCGACAGGTGTTGTACTCAGTATTGCAGGCATTGGAGCATGCATCAGAACCTGCTGGGGCAGATGGTGCTGGTGCCGATGGCGCTGGTGCCGATGAACCTGGAGCAGAAGCTGCTGGTGTCGATGCTATTGAGCAAGCAGTTGCCATAACAAGTGATCCGTTGCCATCAAACGGAGAATATCCGAGGCATGATGCATACTTAGAAGCACAAGTGGATCGGTTTGCATCTGGAGCACTTCGACAGGTGTTGTACTCAGTATTGCAGGCATTGGAGCATACATCAGAACCTGCTGGGGCAGATGGTGCTGGTGCCGATGAACCTGGAGCAGAAGCTGCTGGTGTCGATGCTACTGAGGAGCAAGCAGTTGCCATGACAAGTGATCCATTGCCATCAAACGGAGAATATCCGAGGCATGATGCATAGTTGGAAGCACAAGTGGATCGGTTTGCATCTGGAGCACTTCGACAGTTGTTATACTCAGTGTTACAGGCATTAGAGCATGCATCAGAACCTGCTGGGGCAGATGGTGCTGGTGGTGCACCTGAGCCAGAAGCAACAGAAGCAGCGGTTGGAGCTGGTGGGAAGTATACTAGAAATTTAATGTCAGTCGATGTCCAAAGGCAACATACTCCATGAACATGAGTATATATGTAGAACATATCACATACATTGGGGTTCACCAGTGACGGTAGACCAAACAGTTGTACAACCACATGACTCCGATGGTGTGGCTAACAATCCTCTCTCATGGAAATCTTGATGACCATGTCTCCTTCCAAGGTCTCTAGCATTAACGCCACCTGCAATTGCAGCCGCGACTGCGAGAACTCCGGCCTTCATCTTGTATGTGGTAGATTATATTGTATATTAAGAATCGAACTTTGATTGGATGATATCCTCCCACACGATCGATATATTCGCAAGGTTGCTGGTAAAGAATGCCCGCTGAAAGAGTGAAGCGGTAGAGATATTTGTTCGGCGATGAAGAGAACGTGAAGATTGACAAAATGAAGGTATTCACAACAACAACGTCGATAAGAGGAGTGAGGAATGAAAGAGAAGAGGGCGGATTGAAGAGATAAATAAAAACGTGGAGAGATAATCAGACGGCAAGCTAAACCCAAAGGCTGCAGGGCTAGATAAGTTCCAAGACTTCTGAACATGGGTAAGATCCCCCGAAGTTGGGATGGGAAGTGATTGATGGTCAGACTAAGCTCTTTGGGTGTTTCTCCCAATTGACAAACAAGCGATGAATGTTTAAATTTTGTGTACCAAGAGACAACGCCGTAGAAGCCAAGATATTTTGATTGATTGAAGGAGAAATAATACGAAGGAAATGAAAGAGTAGGAAGAGTATCATACGTTACCTATCATTCAATCTCACTTCCTGTATTCAATTGTTTCCATCTTCAAATGTCACCATCATACATACATACATACCTAGTTACTCAGCACACTTTTCCTGCATCTCTCTCTCACTTCCAGCAAACCGATATCCTCTCTTCTCTTCATAATATGCATTCCCAAAGTGGTAATTGCATTAACCAATTTGAACAATTCCAGGACCATTCATCCATTCATCCACTCATCCATCCACTCATCCCTTCATGCAATTTCCCAAAGTCGTATTTTCCCCATAGAGATCTCGCACTTTTTGTGGATTGAGGGACAAATGGGCCAAATAGGCCAAGTAGATGATGGGTGGAGTCACTGGAGTGTGGATGTGCGTCCAGGATTTTTCGATTTTTCAGTCGAGAATATCTTGACAATGTTAACATACGGGGAGTGGATGAGGGAATGAGTGGATGAGTGGACGATAGGGGAAATGTTGGAAAGCGATCAAAATTAAAAGTTTCATTACTTGGAAGTGAAAAGAGATGCTAAGCCACACCCAATTAAGGTTTAGCCTGATTCGGATGGATGATGACGGATAACAACCTTATGCAAGAAATTATTCAGATTGGCATCGCGTTGAACGAATGACGGAAGGAGAAGTGATGAGGATAATATCGTTTGTGAAAGTATAAAATCATTTTCAGAGGTGCACCAGGTATAATATACATTTATCAAGAAGTATAATATCACATAGCGGCCGATGAATTGAAATGTTTATTATAGACTTCACGTTATGACGAGATTAGCTAAGCTCATATTGATTCCTGGTCACAACTTCCCCGGATTATGAATTATTCATAGCTACCCAGGTCTTAACTTTTCTCTGTCTCTCTACCAGCTGTCATTCTCATTATCGTGTAAACTTATTTTATATACACTCGAGGTATACTTGGGTACCTATACACTTCAACTTCACACTTCACACTTCACAGTTCATACCTTCCTCCCTACTAGATACCTACCTACACATAGTTGTGGTCATTATTTGATTTCATCTCATCTCATCTCATCTCATCTCTCTCCTCTCCTTTTGCCCCTTTCGTCTTCTACCGTATCACTTCGGCAACATGCGCAGGTACAATCCAAACCATGCAGTCTTTCCGTTGTCTTTCCGTGCTCTCCGTTCTCTCCGTTCTAACTTCTCTACAAGCACAAGGAAACAGGGGTCCTACCCTCGTTTACCACTTAAAGAAACATTCGTAAACCACCACTCGCATCATTCATATCCACAAAACCCACAAATTTCGTACAGACTGACCGTCCGTTCATCGGTTCCTGACTAAACGTTGGTAAGGAGGAGACTAGGAGGAACCTCCAATCAATCTATCTATCTATCAAGCTTGGCATGAAGCTCAATCCTAGCAATAAGCATAACAGAAGATCATCTCATTTCCTTTGATTAAATTTTACTTGAATGGGAAACGACAGAAGATCAGACAGAAGATCACGACCATCGCAGGGCATGAGACTCGAGTCGCGAGAGAAATGTTACAATGCCGAACTCAATCCCTTTTGCAGAGATGGAAACTAGGTAGGAAGAGCACGGTGCCGAACTTGCTCTTACAAACTTTCCAGAGAGGTAGATGGATGTACAGTAGATGGATGTCTTGCACGCCCACTTTCTTTTTTTAAATAGTTGCAAAAATTGAAAGGAATCTAAAAGACCGCCATGGGTGAGTCGAGTTGCCTATCTGCCCTGTGCTTGTAGAATGCTCCGACGTCGTCCGTACTGGTAATTATCGGCATACGATTCAGCTGGATCTCATAGATCATCTAGGAGAGCTACCGCATTCAACGGCGAAACGCTTGGGAAGGGAAAGCCACGACCTCGGTAGACTTGGCATTCGTGTTTTTTTCCAAATTAAAGAGAAACATTTCCATCTGACTGAACTTTAACTTGCTTCAGAGGTTAACCATAAAAATAGAAATAGAAATAGATTGCTCAACATATATAGAGTTGGAGAACTCTGTAAAGATAATCATTGATTAGTATGGAATTCGCTTCAATTTGATTCTCTAAGAAAAGCGAGCATTGGATGAGGAGAGGAGAGAATCGAGGAAGGAGAAGAACGGACGAAGAAAACAAGAAGCCGAGAGAGAAATATGCAACAAACTGCTGTGATACTGTCACCATTACACCGGTATCTGTACCCAGGTAGGTACGCACAATCAGTACAAGCTTTGAATACCTACAGCCAGTATACTCTTGCGAGATCTGTCAAGAGAAAAGCTTCATGAAGAAAGATACTTCAAAGACCCCGAATGAACCCAAATTGCTCTGATATTGTCATGATGATGTAGTATTTTATTATGAATATTTAAAATAATCATCAGTTGTTGGTATATACCTAGTGTTTGTCTTTCCGTCACTTCATTTACTCCATTACCTCTTCAGCAAAAGGAAAATAGAATAATTGTCTCGTGACTCTCATCTGTCTTTTAAGTTCCCTCGTTCCCACAAGTCTAGACCGCCTATGCTTACCTAAGTTTCACTACCTAAAACCCGTGAACCAATCAAAAAGCACAAAACTCAAACCAGCGCGTCAATTCCCTTTTCGACTCTTCTTATCCAATCAACTTACTCAAATCATTATTTACCAGTCATTCGCGCCAAAGGTTCAACAACAAATCTTTCTTCTCAGCGCTTGATAACCTGTCCATCTCCAATGACTTCACGATGAAGACACTATGCCATCTAATTGGTCATTGACTCATTTTCTGAAATTTCTTCAAACTCTAACTTCAATACCAATGAACTATTTTCATCATCTCGAACCGCTGCCGTGAGAGCCAGTACTCCCATGTGTAGCTTGTTATGGATCGCGTTTCTAAATATCCTATTCGAAGGTACACGGTCGACGCATGAATGACCATCTAGACATGGATATGGGTCATCATTGAAGAATGTATGGGTGATGGCCTTTTGTTCCTCTAAAACCATGTGTTTCTGAAGTAGAAGTCTCTTACAGAAACGCTATATGATGAAAGTCAAGTCAAATGCTTGATCGCGTAGTGAACAAAGGAAGTTTAGTTTGTTTCTCTTCGTACTCAAAAACTTCCACTCCATTTTTTTCTGGAACCTCTCGACTTTCATTGTTCATTATTTCACGCAGGAAAGAAATCTTTCGATTCTAATTTTATCTTTCTCTGTTACTCTCTTATATTTACAAATTCTCCCAGGTTTCTTCTCGTGATATACTCTTTCTGGACTCTCCATCTTTTACATTAATACTTCTTGTATCATTTATCTCTACTTCTAACACTCATTCATACTATTGACATATTTGGACTTTACCATTTTAATACAAAGTCCACTGCTTCAAGTGTTTACATCACGATTTGGTACATTTTCGGTGAGAAAAGTGTTATTACATATGGTTGCAGCTATGAGGCAAAGTCAAATTAGCAAACAATCGCTATTAATGATTGTTTCTCTTTTAAGCTCAAATTTCGCGCAAGCAAACACTATCTTCGAACGAGCAACATGTCCTCAAGCGGGCTATGTACAATGTGCAAATACTGGGTTACCATCGGACTTTTGTTGCCCTTCTACTTCGACTTGTATAGCTTTAGCACAAAACACCACCTTATTGTGTTGTCCTAGTGGAAGTGATTGTAGCACTATTCAACCTATCACTTGCGACATCACTCAACAAAATATCACTTCACATCCTGAAAATACACTCAAAACTACATCTCTGACAGCAACTTTGGAAAAATGTGGAAGTAATTGCTGTCCATTTGGTTATACCTGCATAAATGGCAACTGTCAGATGAACGCCGATCAAGCGGATTCCGTTCCAGGTCAACAACAGAGTTCTGCGGTGGGCAGCGGAACATCACCTGTAGCCACGAGCTCAGGTACACAAGTAACCGCTATTTCTGGCAATCCTTCGTTCACTAACCCATCGTCTACTTCGACTCCGTCCTCAACCGGCACACCTATAACTATCATCCCAGAAACATGCGACAAATACCCTGTTGTTGCAATCCTGATAGGTTTATTTCCAGGTATCGCCATAGGAGCCATTCTTGCTCTTCTCACGGTATGCTGTCTCGGTCGCCGTAAACACTCCCAACGCAAAAGCGGTTCCTCCTTCGGAAATATCTCCGACCCTGTTCCCACCAGCGACGTGCGTACCGATTTCCTCCGCAAGATGCCTCAAACTCCTTCTACATCCGCAGATGGTACTCCTCGAAGAAATAAAACCATTACACGTGTTCAATCCTTATTTCGAAAATCCACCGCTCCAGGAATGTCCAATAGTCCCGGCATCGCTTATCAAAATAGTCCACCCCCCGCATTACCAATCCCACTCAACATACAGAGAAAAAAACAAACAAACGTATCCAATCGTCCCATTACTCCTCCTCTACAACGCGAACCGAGCTTTGAAGATATAAATATATTTACAGATGCCGATACCGCGAGTTCTTTTCGACAA